TATGATGTATTAGTATTTGATTTAAATCTTTGAATCCAAACCATTCACTGGTTGTGTGTTTATTGTTAAGGTATATCTTGGATTTTAAAGATTGATGTTTCCTATGGGAATCAAACCTTTATCATTTAAAGTAATGTAGTCGGAGATGTTACTAATGTGATATTTAAGTTATAGCTGATCTCCTACATGATTGATTATTAAGTTAGTGACTAGTACCATTCTTTCCCCCCCCCTATTCTCTTTTGGTACTGATCACATTTGATTTAGCAAGCTGTACAGTTAGTAGATTATAGAAAAAATTAGGATATCGTACAACTATTTTGCAATGATCTATGTCAATAAATTTCATGTCAGAACTCATACATAACTAAAATGAAACAGTTGTTACCAGTGGGATTGAATATTCACCGCTCTACATCAAAATTTTGTCAAAGTTGGAATTATACAGTTGCAAATTTACCCGTGACAATGAAAGATTCTGAGTTCGATTCTTAACAGGATTGTGGATGAAAACCATTTGACTCGATAAAAGACGCGACTATGGATCACTTTCAATCCAGAAGGTTTCAGGGAACAACTCAACTGGCATTCATCCATATTTTAGTTACCCACTATTTCCAGGCAACCAAAATGATAGTTTGATGTGAGTCCTGTGATACTTAGTGTGGTTGAAAAGCATGTAAGTAGTGTAAAGCCAGGAAAAGCATCAGGGTCTAATATATTAGCTACTGAGATTTTCAAGGATGGTGGCGTAGTTCCAGAAGTTAGATTGAATTAAATCCCGACTAAAAACCGGGAACTGGATGTAATCCCATTTGGCCAGTCTCGATCTCTTATCATTCCGGCCTGTAAGAAAAGACAAAACTCCTCTTGTGAAAATCTCAGAGGAATCAGTTTGACTAATGTAATGTTCTAAATATTCACCTTTATAACAGTTCAACGTCCAACTGGAGTTTACAAAAGACAAACTCGAGAAAACCAGGCTGGTTTCAGACGTGAACGTGGATATATAAACCAAATGTTCACCCTTCGGCAGATTCTGGAACATAGACATACTTTTTGACGTCCAACCACAGTTGTATTCCCCGACCTTGGGGTGGCGTTCTTTTCTGTTGGTCTTGAGGCTCTGTGACAGTATCTGTCATTGAAAGGCACAACAAAGAAGTACATTAATCTTGTCCAAACTCCTTTCTCACACAGTAATGTTCGAGTCAGTGCTTACGTTGAACTGTCATCGGAATTGTTTAGTTCACATGGTTGTCATCAGGGTTGTCCGCTTCCAACATTCTTATTCAAATATGTCATAGACATGCTTTTAGAGACAACGCCTTCATCGTCTGACTTTTAAAGGATTGATCTTCTCCCAGAAAATTCACTTTTTAACTTGGAATGCGCAGATGAAGTATTTTTATTCGGTGAAAGTGTTGACAAAACGCATATTCTTCTGACCATCAAAAGCAACAAGGTAAGGATGTTTGTGATATGGTTTTGTACCTCCAAATACAGAATGTTACTTTAGGATCGGCTGGTGTCATTGCTTGAATTAATGATAGGGAGTGAAGCAGTTGAACGCATCGTCCGCTTTACTTATCTTGATTGTTTGGTGTCTGATAAAATATGGGCACGGATTGATAAGTCTCGGTTGACCTTTGCTAACGTGAGTCACCGGACGCGTAGGCAAACGACGAGTTTGCCGTGCATCAGTTCACTCCATTCTACTCTATGGATGTGCAACACGGTCATTAGAAGTAGAGGATATTTCTAGCTTACTGGTATTCAATCATAAGTGTTCATGAAGAACTGGTCGTTTATTTTTGGACCATGAATTAGGCAATCCCTGGGTTAAGAATACAGTACTAAGTAAAGATGGTAAATCGATTGATGATGTGGTAAATATTTACCAATATAAATTGTTGGGACATATGTTACGAATGTTCATCCCCCTCCATACTCGACGAGTGATGTTGTGTGGTGTAGAAATAGGCTGGAAGAAAGCTAGTAGTGGCTAAACCAAAACATAGCGCTAATCTATGAAGTCACTGATAACTGAACTGAGTCATGTTAATATGTGCTGACTATCTGGCTGAGGTCCGCGTAACTGTCGTAACCAATGCTTAAGGACTTTGAGTGACAAGGTTTAAAATAGTTTTCAATAGGCTAGTATATCCATTCTTTGTCTTCCTCTTAATCATGTGATTCTGAATTACCCACAACATTTTTATTTCTCTGATTTATATATCCTTTTCGGGTCATATCTTCAATGTCTAATCTTTCTTAATACCACTGATACTGTTACTACCTCTACTATTCTAGGAATTGGCCTGATAACTTCATTTGTCTGTGCTAATAGGAAACGGCAACCTGAGCCGATGTTCTGAGTGTTTATCTAGCTTTAAATCACACGAAATCACTATCTAATCAAATAAAATATTGTTAATATATTTTCGTTTAATATCTGGTCTCTTAAAATTATTACTTCATTTTATACTACTGAATTAAATACTTAGTAGCTTGAGATAATTGAAACAAATATACAAACTATGGTAGTTTCATCACTATTAACGACATAATTTTGTTTAGTTTTAACATTTTATTCTTTGAAGAAACAAATTTCAAAATGTACATGAACAAGTATAGATTCTATTTAGCTAACCAAAAAAGGAACTGGAGTGTTCAATAGCTATCGCAAAGTTTTTGTGTTCTTTTTAATGATCAGAAGGGTTTTGTGGAAATTTTAGAAATTTCACTAGTCAGTTTAAGACAATGGTTCAAGGTGGCGCGATTCCGTGGATTGATTGAAATCGGATATTAACATCGTTGGATGCCGGCTCAGTGGTCTAGTGGTTAAGTGCTCGCGCTCGAAACCAGTAGGTCCTGGGTTGGAATCTCGCAGGGGCTGAGGTCGTGGATGCGCACTGCTGAGGAGTTCCACAATAGGACGAAACGGCCGTCCAATGCTTCCAAGTTTTCCATGGTGGTCTAGCTTTAATTGACTCATGATTTCAACTAGTGAAATTTCTTTTTAATTGAAAGAAACCTTATATTTAGATGACAATCAGATAACTGGAAAATTGGTCGAGTTAGAGAAGTTTTTAAGCATTCATTGTTAAAGTATAAAGTTACCTTACTTTATTATACATAACTAACATTAAACTCAGACACACCGGATGGAATTGTTTACTGTATTTCATCATCTTTGGTCTGAGGACACGTTTAGATAATTTAACAAAGATTATGCTTTAAATCTGTGCTTGCTTTAATGAATTTTAATCTTAATTGAATGTAAAGGAATTTTTGTTTAAAGTTGATTGAATAATCTCGCAGTATATGGATGCCGAGTTAATATGAGACATTAAAGTGAATGAAGTTGAAGTGAATCCATCGTTTCGCCTGGTAATCACACCCCCAAAATGTACAGGTACGATCGACGGTGGGGAGAGTTAGCTCTCCCTCTCTAAAAGCTCTCACATGGTGACGCATACACAACCACTGCCAGCCAAGTCCTACTCACTGCCTTCTTTCAGCATTAGTGTTGGTTACGAGATTAAGAGGACGAAAAGCGAATGTCCGGCACTTTAACTAGGTTTATGGATGTGGATGGACCACTTAGGGGAGTTGGAAAACCTTGATTCCGAACCAGTGATGCACATGAGCTCCAGGATCCTATGAAAACAAATGGTGTATGAACCTATTGTTGGTTGCCAACTACAATGGGACTGCATCGGCTGCCTTATGGATCAGACATTTAGGTCAAAGGCTTGGGATGTATCCCTATAAGAAAACCACTTACTTCGGTTCGGGCAACCTGGCAGTATCATAGCCTGAACACAGATCAAGTGACTTGTATGGCGCATATCTATTTGGTAACCCTTTGTGCCAATATTTATGTATTCAAATAAATAAATAAATCATATACAGATCCAATTTTCTTTTCAAGGAATTATCATCAAACCTTTAAATTATCGAATATGAATAAGCACATTATTCGCTGGTTAACTATATACTACTATATAGATCATCCAATCCATGTTAACAATGTTTAAAGTACATATTTGCTTTAATGACCTATTTAATATATAATTAATCACAGAACCAATTACTTTAATCGTTTAAATCAATTGATTCAATTAAAGCTAGACCACCGTACAAAACCTGGAACCACGGAACAGCCGTTTCATCCTATTGTGCCACTTCTGATTTATATTCAATAATTTCGAAAAAAACTTTACACCAGATTGTCAAGTGAAACATTCATTGCGAGTTAACAAATACCTTCTTCTTCTTCTTCCTTTTCGTCTTCCTCTTCTACTTCTTCTTCTTCTTCCTCTTGGTGTTCGTCGTCTTTTTGTTCTTCTTCTTCTTAGTCTTTTCTCCTCCTTCTTCGTCTTCGTCTTCCTCTTCTAATTCTTCTTCTTTGTGTTCGTCGTCTTCTTATTCCTCGACTCCGTCTTCTTCATCTTCCTTGTCTTCGTCGTCTTCTTCTTTGTCTCCATCGTCTTTTCCCCTTCTTCTTCTTTGCCGTCTTTTCTCCTCCTTCTTCATCTTCTACTTCTTCTTCTCCGTCTTCGTCGTCGTCGTCATCTTCTTCTTTATTAATATCACAATTTAATAGATTTTCAAAAAATAATTATTATAATATTTAATTAAAATTTTATCCTGTGCATCATATGTGCATATCTGATACATTTCATTTTATTGATTTTTATTGGAATATTGATTTTCTTTTTCAAAAAAAAAAAAACAAACAAACAAAAACAAAACACAACAATCATAATTCAATCTACAACACATTCTAAAATATTTTTAACCAATAAAAATGAAGTTCTATGATATGTATGTCAGTTGTACGCATTAAATTGATTGGTTAAAAAATGTTTAATCTGTGCAAGAGGGGGGGGGTTTTATTCACTATTGATTACCTAAGCGTATGTATGTGTATGATGATTGTTTAAATGAACAAAATATTTTTATTCAATATTTAAATGATGTAAATAAATTTTGGAGGGATTTTTGTAAATATTAATTCATATGAGCTTGTATATCATTCCTTTTTTGATGTTTTATTCTTAACTATCATTATATACTACTTATATTAGATACAAAATGGCTTACATTACACTATTGTCATTTAAATAAATAATTTCATCTATGATATTTCATTATATTCATATGTATAATGATAATATTATGAAATAATGAATTCTATATGATATAAAACAATAAAACAATAAAACTATACACATAACTATATTACTGAATTGATATCATCATATCAGATTTGTATTAGTAATAATAATAATCACAATAATAATAATAATACCAAGAATAAGAATGAACAGTTAAGTGGAATGAATTCATTCAATAATTCCATTGGAAATTTATCTTCTACAAGAAATAGTTCATCTTTAATAACAAATTCAATGAATACTACTAATAATAATAATAACAGTAATAATAATAATAATAATAATAGTAATCTATGTATTAATACATCAAGAAATAATGATTATACAAATGGTAATGAATCTAATGGAAATTATACAACAACATCATCTATATTAGGATCTAATTCAAGAATTTTAAGTAATTGTGCTGAATGTGGTCTAAGAATTATTAATTTAATAGATACATGTTATGCAATGGGATATTTATATCATAATTCATGTTTTGTATGCTGTTGTTGTAGTAAGTGTTGAAATGATTCTTTTATATATATCTATATCTATATCTATATCTATATATCTATATTAACATGATCTGTTATATAATAGTTCAGTTTATGAGTGGATTAAAGCTAGACCATTTGTCAATCAACATCAAAGTCACAATATTCAATATAAATATCAACAATTACAAAAGTCATTATCCAGAAGTGTTATATCTTAAAGACTACCAATTAGAGGGCAGTGAATTATCGATCAGATTAAGGGATTCAAAATTTCAATAGGCTATTCTGATTCGTTGTCCTACCACTTAGCTAACTCGATCAAGTAGTCTCGGTAAGACGTAGAAAGTGTATTCTACAGGCAACCAGCAGATACCAGGTCAATCACACACACGAATCAAGCATATTTACATATATATATATATATATATATATATATATATATATCGATATTGCCATGGAGCTTTTAAGAATTTAATCGATAAGTTCGTCAATCGACTATATGGGTGGTAAGAAATGCCCACGTATACATTTGCATATAAGTTCCACAAGGTAAAATTACAAATTATGAGTTTTTGGGGATCTATCGTCCCCAACAAGAAGATACAAGTGTTGTTGAACAGTAGTGTACATAAAATACTTTGTATACATTGATCAGACACTATCAGTAACAATGTATTGTGAGAGAGAACAAACCATATCCCAGTTGAGGAAGAAACTTTTAAAGTAGATAGGGCACCTATTGAGGAAAGCTTTCACTAGGCATTTTAAAGACTAAAGGAAGAATGAAAGATCAAAGAACATATTACACCGAAAAAATGAAGACAGACATGAGAAAAATGAAGAAAAATTCGATAGAACTAGAAAGAAATGTGTAGGATAGAGTAGGTTGGAGAATGCTTGTTGGTGGCCTATACTTCATTGAGTATAATAGGTGTAAGTTATTAAGTCAATAAATTATGAGAAACCTGAAATTACTAAACGTCTGTTTTGTTCTAGTATGAGATTTGTTGGATTCGAACTCAAGATCTTGTTTATTATGTTAACAAGATTTTGTGCTTATTTTTTCAAAGACATAACATAATTTCTACAGGGATTATTCTAAATTTCAACTATTTACTGACCAAATTTTCACTGGAATAGTTTACACTATGTCTAACCGATAAGTTTTAACTAATCTTGTCATGAACAAGAATACAAATAGAGACAATCCAATGTATTTGAATATATAAATTATAAATCAAATCTAAGTCAAATCTAAGAAACAAACAATGAAAATTTTATTTACAAAATCTCAATCGATTGTCTTTGACTTTATTGTTCTTTCATTTTCACACTAATCATTCATTGTTCTCGTTCTCTTTTCTTCTATATACATATATATATATATATTTCACCTTCTACTGTCAAATATTTCACTTTCTATTGATCACACATATATATACTACTTATATCTGTTGACATCAGTAGTATACACCATAAATATAAAAATTGAATCCTTAATTAACTTTCCAATATTGAATATTATGATATATTTTTCAATCATATGTCTTAATTATAATATATATATATACATTAATAGAATTTAGTCTATCAACTAGTCAATTGATATGAGATTACCATGGTAAGCTTATTCTGTTGTTCATTCTAAATAGTCTTAAAAAAAATAATGGAAAGAGATAAAGTTCTATGAATCATCAAATATTTAAAGAATAATCATTATGTATGATGTCCTCCTGGAGCCCCTCTGAAACTGATGCTGATTGAAAACTCGGATAAAGGTGGATAGTTTGTTATCGGGTTAATGACTCTATCTTGTAGAAAACTAATTTGCCAAAAAATACTTTACCCAGAAATAAAAATGTCTTGACATGTTTTAGTATAACAAAACAAATTCATAGTTTTAATTAGAAGTAAATTATAATAGTAGGTATCATTACCAAGGTTTGATATGATAATTTCGAATAAATTGAGCATAAGGTTGATTGTTATAAATAAATAAAGTAATATATTTGTAATATCCGAATGAGTAGAAAAATTAGATTTTTTGACATTTCGTAACTTAGTGTAAGTGACTTCTTCAGATTTAGTTATTTATTCTCTGAAGAAATGACTTACACTAAGTCACGAAACGTTAGAAAATCTAATTATTCTACTCATTGAGATATTACAAATATATTACTTTATTTATAAATTATAATAGTCAGTCAGTCAGTCAGTCAGCTGCAACGTAGGACCAGGCACGTATATGCATCGGTCCAAGTTGCCATACCGCATTAGCACAACAAGATGAACAACGGATTCATAGAAGTAGTTAATTCAGTGGTGGTAATATATAGAAGAAAGAGTGTGTATAAGGAGATTGTACAGGAAGATAGAATTAGTTGGTAGAAAGAAAGATATGGAGCGATTTTAGTCTCTGAGCTTAAAGGAAGACAGAGAGCGTATACACTTACGCTATTGTGGTCGATTCTGAGCCATGTCACCGAGAGTCTCAAACTATTGGTTATGATAGTCACGTAGACCCCAACCAGGCAGTCTGAATCTCCCAACATGGCTCAGACCAGAAGTTAGTGACTTCAAGCACTGATGCCACATTTTGGTTTGGCCGCCTCTAACTTCCTTCCAACCATCCCCAACAGTAGTCAGCATTGAGCGTCGTGGTAATGATTGTTCAGGCATACGCAACACGTGATTCAGCCATCTCAGTCGATGAAGGTTCATAACCTCATCAACTGATTTACCATCATTTCCTAATACCCTGCGTTTAACCTCACTATTACTTACCTAGTGATCCCAGCAGATGCGAACAATATTTCTAAGGCATCTGTAGTCAAATACTTGTAGCTTATGAGTATCTTCTACTCTTGACAGCCATGTTTTGCAGCCGTATAGTAGAACGGAACGAACTGCCGCACAGTATACTCGTCCCTTAATTGATAGACGGATATCTCGCCTTCGCCATAGGTGACGTAAGTTGGCAAAGGCCAAGCGAGCTTTTCGAATCCGTGCTGAGATTTCGTCACACATCAACCGATTAAGGCTGATCAGACTTTCAATATATTGTAACATTATAATTGATAACTAATATCTATTAAGTCAAACAATTTCTTACGATTATGTGAAAAGTCAATATTTTATTGTTGTTGTTGTTGTTGTTGTTAATTATGTATTATTTGAGTTGACGTGGATATTGTGTATCCATGTATATAATAACATACATAATATAAATAAGAGTATAAGTAGAAATAATATGAAATTGTATAGATACAATAGAAAACAAAAAAAAAAAAAAAAGTAATTCAATAAGCACATATTTGAAATTTATAAAAAGATTAAATGTAATGATCATGTTAAAGAAAATAAGAATAAAGATTGAGTATTAGGTAGAAATGTCAAAAAGAATGAAGATTGTTATAGAATAATAAATGAATTTTTATGTTATTTCATTAAGGTTCTTATCAACTGCTTATAGATATTAACATACTTATATCATAAAAGGGGTTATTATTAATGAATATATATATATGTGTATTATGATGTAGTCAAGATAACAATAGAGTTACTAAGGGAAAAGCAAAATTCTTCGATACAACACAACATGTACCAATCCAATCACAATTGACGGAGAAGCTTTGGAAGATGTAAAAACCTTTACATATTTGGGCAGTATCATCGATGAACACGGTGGATCTGATGCAGATGTGAAGGCACGGATTGGCAAAGCAAGAGCAGCATACTTACAACTGAAGAATTTCTGGGACTCAAAACAATTAGCAACCAACACCAAAGTCAGAATTTTCAATACAAATGTCAAAACAGTTCTACTATATGGGGCGGAAACCTGGAAAACTACGAAATCCGTCGTCCAAAAGATACACGTGTTTATTAACAGTTGTCTACGCAAAATACTTCAGATCCGCTGGCCGGACACTATAAGCAACAACCTACTGTGGGAGAGAACAAATCAGATCCCAGTGGAGGAAGAAATCAGGAAGAAGCGCTGGAAGTGGATAGGACACACATTGAGGAAAGCACCGAACTGCGTCACAAGACAAGCCCTCATATGGAATCCTCAAGGTCGAAGGAGGAGAGGAAGACCAAAGAATACATTACGCCGAGAAATGGAGATAGATATGAGAAAAATGAACAAGAATTGGATGGAACTAGAAAAGAAGGCCCAGGACAGAGTGGGTTGGAGAATGCTGGTCGGCGGCCTATGCTCCATTGGGAGTAACAGGCATAAGTAAGTAAGTAAGTAAGGTTATTAGAAATTGTTTGGAAAGGAAAATTCCAGAACATTGAAATAGTGATTAGAATTTATAGGGTTAACAAATATTAGATGATTATGTAATGATACAACTGAATACAGATCAATGGTAATAAAGAAATATATATAAATAGAAATCAGTCAGTTATGTATGATGTAATATTAAACTTCAGAAAGAATTGAAATTATGAATGATGTAATAAATAAATAAAAAGGGGGTAATGTTACCAAGGCAAAGGAAGATTTATTACTGTCTCTTTTTGTATACATAGATTTGGTTTTAGACATTTGATTGTTATTACTTTGGTACACTTCAAAAGATTGAAGTTTGATTGTCTATTAATCACCTTGAAAGACTTCATATCCTATGTTAAGGAGATGTCTTGCGATGGCACTGTTGAATGCCTTTAGTCCACGCGTATATAGCCTCTGTCAGGAAATTTCTACTCACTGCCTTCTCGTGGCGGGGGTGTTGTTTATGAAATTGAGAAGACGAAAAGCGAATGTCCGGCGCTTTAACTGGGTTGTTGGATACGGAGAGTCTACCTAGGGGAGTTGGAAAATTCTGATTCCAAACCAATGGTGCACATGGACTCCAGTATCTCGAGGGAACAAACGGCGTATGAACCAACTATTGTTCATCGACTATCATGGGACTTCATCTCTTAACGTTGCTCCACTGCCTTATGGATCAGACTTTTGGGTCAAAGGCTCTGGGTGTGATCCCCTAAGAAAACCACCTGCTTCGATTTGGGCACCCGGGCAGTATCACAGCCCTCACACAAATCAAATAAGATTTGTGTGGCACATATGTATCTACTGCCTCCTTGTACCAATATCTATGTGTTCAAATAAATAAATAGAGGAATCTGTAAGCTGTATATGCCATAGATTAATGATTAGACAGATATTTTATTCCAATATGACAATACTGTTAGATCATAACATGAATAATTAAAGTACTTCGGCTTCGGTTGGCCAATAATAAATTCTATTTACAAACAATTAAGGCTTCTTCTAATGAGGTGAAACAAATAGGAACTCGAATAGACTGAACGATTGTCACACGGACACATTTCAATGTTAATAATTCATACTCTAATAGGGAAGGCTGGACTTTCAAGATAACTTTATATATTGTACAGAAGTCAATTTCGAAAAAAAAACAACTCTTTATTCATAGTCGTAATCAATGACATCGAGGCACATAATAACATAAAAAAAATAGGAACAATAATAACCATTCAGGTGGCGACAAATGTTATTACGGAAATATGAGTTAGGAAAATGATGATGGGGTTGTCCTTTAAAGAGATAATTAACAAGAAACTAAGTAACATGGTTTGGTTTTAGCGGCCCGGATAGCTCAGTGGTAACGTCTCTGACTGTGAAGCTGGATGACACGGGATCGAATCCGCCAGGGAGCACCAGTTCCCTCGAAGATTACAGGTACACCTTGCTGACGAGTGCCAAGTAGCACGAAATCCGGGTCCACGGTTTCCTGTCGACTACCTCCAATCACCATCTAATCTCACAATAGTGACCGCAGTGTCGAGTCACCTAGACTGGTGGCCACATTGCAACATGATCGATAGCATTCGATCTGCACTAATAATAAGGACTAGACACGCATGACATTGGTCACCCAGTGATCAATCAATTGTGATTGGTTTTAGCAATTCCAGAACAGAGATCACCTACTATTTCATTTGCACTGTTCTCAAATGTGATATTGAGTATGATGTGTTTAAATCTCCTGTAGAGAATGGTTATTATGGCAAGAATGACATTATTAGTGGGTGAATAGTACAGACTATACAAAATCTAAATTCAAAGCTGCCTATGGACTACAACCATTTCGTATCAATAAAAATAATTTACGCAATATAATATGATGTGAAATACAGTAATTACACATTGAGTATACATATTGTGGTTTATAGTTTAACCAATAGTGTTGTTAGGATCACTTAAGGTTCCCCTTACATATTACTTCAATTTCATCTGTGAATTGTGAGTGTATTAACTAGATACTGGCATTATGTCAAAACTTTAAAGGATAAACAAATTTTTTATCAGCAATGAAATCCTGGATGCTTATTTTGCCCTACTGAACAAGTTAGTAAGTATTTCAACTAAGTGATCAGATGGATAATATACTAGCATTGGAAACAAAAGGTATTGGCTTTGAGCTTAAATTTTAATGAAAACATTGGAAAGTAAGAAATGTAATGTTTGTTCTGAATTTCATTGCTAGACACAATTTATCAATTTTATAGACTTTACTTATTTACGCCTGTTACTTCTCGTGATGGAGTATAGGCCACCCGCCAGCATTCTCCATCTAACCCTGTCTTCCGAAATCCTTTCCACTTGTTATTCATCCTTTTCATATCTGCTTCGATTTCCCGACGTAATGTGTACTTTGGCCTCCCTCTTTTCCCCTTCCCTTCAGGATTTCATGTTAGCGCTTGTCTCGTGATACAGTTTGATGGTTTGAGTAATGTATGTCCTATTCATTTCCATCATCTTTTCCTAATTTCCTTTTCATCTGGAAGCTGGTTTGTTCTCTCCCATAGTAGGCTGTTGCTGATGGTATCCGGTCAATGGATTTTGAGTATCTTGCGTAGACAGCTAATTATAAATACTTGCACCTTCTTGATGATTATTATGATAGTTCTCCAAGTTGCAGCTCTATACATTAGAACTGCCTGACTTTGATCTAAATATTGAATCATTCCTATTGATTCCTCCAATAGCTACAGATCTCCTTATCAATTATAACTGATCTTAAAAAAATTTTTTAATGGAAAGGGAATAGAAATGTCATCGAACACGTATCAATTGTCAATTATTTATTATCAGAAGGGGTTTTGTGGAGACTTTAGACATTTCACTAGTTGAAATCAATTGAAGCTAGACCACCATGGAAAACCTGGAAGCACTGAACGGCCGTTTCGTCCTAGTATGCCGGCTCAGTAGTCTGATGGTTAAGCTTTCCTGCGCTAGACTGATAAGTCCTAGGTTTGAATCTCGCGTAGGGCAGGATCGTGGATGCGCACTGCTGATTAGTCCCATACTAAAACGAAACGGCCGTCCGGTGATTCTAGGTTTTCCATGATGGTCTAGCTTCAAATGATTTCAACTAGTGAAATTATTTATTAGTACTAATGCAATTGGATTTTAATACTCATTTACCTATTGTGTTTTAATTGATTGATTTAGAGAGAACATTACGCGGGAAGGTGTTTTACAAAGATCAAGATAAAATATATTGTGAAGAAGATTATCTGGTAAGAGTGAAAAACATTTTCAAACTTATGTGCATATATTTGTATATATAAAAATGGTAAAATAAAACTATACACCTAATGTTGAACATTGTATCAGCCAATCACAAAGCAACACTCAATTGTGAAAAGAATTTATGATGAATCTTTTTATTTCAATGGTTAAGATCATGATTCAGTTTAAGCTAGACCATCATAGAAAACCTGGAAGCACTGGGCATCCGTTTAGTCCTATTGTGGGACTCCTCATTGGCAGTGCGCATCCACGATCTCCATGGTGGTCTAGCTTCAACTGACTCTAAATAGTTTATAAATTTCCCCCCACTTATTCCAAGAATCCTTCAAGTTCTTTGCTATTCCTTAATCTTATCATATTTTCCACCTGGGCGGAAACATACTTAACAAAAAAGAAACTTTACTCAGTCCTAAAATAGCTTCAAAAACGTTACAAGCTAACTGTCAATGTGTTTTGAATTTCTCATTAAATTCCAATAGCTACTTTCTCAAATCTTATTAATTCGATAGTATGCTTTACTTTTACTATGCAATGACATATGCATACATTTATAGTCGATATCAATCTACACACACATTTTCTTGTAATGATAGCATCAGTGCGACACCTTATGTATGTGAAGCATTTTCTTCTTCAAGGTCGGAGTATAACAGAGGCTCCTCTGAAGCTAGTTGTTGTTGTCCAATCTTCATTCAATGTGTTTCGCTGATTTCAAGCACATCCAGCTTGTATCTATTCAATTGCAGAAATTTAGAAGACTCTTTCAGTCTCCCGATTGTACGTGAATTCCATATACCTAATTTATTGGTTGCTCTGGTTGTCAGAAGGGAGATCAACCTCGTGAATTCCGAAGTAACTCTTTTAAATGAACATCTTCTAACTACCAGAACAGAGTTTAAATGGTTAGAATTATTTTTTCTGATTGGCGTATTTTTAGCGAAATAGTTTTCTATGGGATAGGGTCGCCAATCCAGTGCTCAATCCTGTTCCTTTATCCGTGCTTGGGACTAGTAGTAACTCCAGAGGGGCTTCAAGCAGAGTTTTGTTGTAATGAAAATTAAGTAATATTTGGATTGTGATTAGAAGTAGAATCCAGAGTACTCGTTTCTTTTCATTTTGAAGACCTATCATTTAGATGTATCTACACACTTCAGCATCGATATTCAAACTGAAAGTCGAACTCCGTATCTACTACACCAAACACCGTTTTTTTTCTCATGCAACAGACATTATCGTGGCAATTCTCTAAAGATGAATCTATGAAAATGAATATTGATTAGTTGTATGTAATTCTGGATATATAAAACAACAATATAAATATATAAACCCTTTTAAATATTACATACTTACGCGTGTTACCCTCAATAGATTATAGGCCACCGACCAGCATTCTCCTACCCACTCTGTCCAGCACCTTCTTTTCCAGCTCCATCCAATTCTTGTTCATTTTTCTCATGTCTATCTCCATTTTCATGTCGATCTCCATATCCCAGCATAATATGTTCTTTGGTTTTCCTCTCCTCTTCATTTGGCCTTGAGAATTCCATGAAAAGGCTTGTCTTGTGACACAGTTCGATGCTTTCCTCAATGTGTGTCCTATCCATTTCCAGTGATCCACTTCCTGATTTCTTCCTCCTCTGGAATCTGGTTTGTTCTCTCCCACAGTAGGTTGTTGTTGATAGTGTCCGGTCAACGGGTCCGAAGTACTTTGCATAGACAAATTTTGATAAACACTTGTATCTTCTGGATAATGGCTTTCGTATTTCTTCAAGTTTTCGCACCACACAGTAGAACTGTCTTGTTATTTGTATTAAAATTCTGACGTTGGTGTTGGTTGACAGACAGTTGTTTTGATTTCCAGATGTTCTTCAATTGTAAATATACTGCTCTTGCTTTTCCGATCCAAGCATTCACATATGCGTCCGATCCACCGTGTCCATCGATAATGCTGCTCAAATAGGTAAAGGTTTTCACATCTTCCAAATCCTCTCTGTCAATTGTGATTGCATTGGTGCATGCTGTGTTGTACCGGAGAATCTTGACTTTCCCCTTTTCTATGTTGAGACCTACTGCTACTGAGGCTGCAGCCACACTGGTCGTCTTCTCCTACATTTGTTGTTGTGTGTGCAATAGAAGAGCCAGATCATCTGTGAAGTCTAGATCGTCCAATTGCATCCTAGCTGTTCACTGTATCTCATGCTTCTCTTCAGATTTTGACGTCTTCATAATCCAGTCGATCACTAGGAGAAAGAGAAAGGATGAGAGTAATCAACGTAGCCTGACACCGGTCTTTACTTCGAACGAGTCTGTCAGCTGTCCTCCATGAACGATTTTGCAGTTTAATCCATCATAGGAATTCCGTATGTTATTGAATATATTCTGAGGCACGCCATAATGTCGAAGAAACTTCCATAGTATTGCTTTCAAATATAATGTACATTATATTTTTATAATGAAAAAAAACAGAGGTACTCACAGAAAAAACTATTTAATCAATATTTGAAATTATTGTACACAGATTGTTTTGTAATTCTAATAAAAATATAACATTGAACTTGTTATTATAATTAGTACCCATCTCATTAGCACAGTAAGACGAACATCGAATTCATAGAACTAGTTAATTCAGTGGTGGTAATATATAAAAGAAAGATTGTATATAAGGAGATAATACAGGAATAAAGAATTAGTTGGTTGAAAGAAAGATATAAAATAATTTTAGTGTCTTAGTTTAAGAGAAGACAGAGAGTGTATACACTGACTCAATTGTGGTCGATTTTGAGCCATGTCACCTAGAGTCTCCAACCATTGATTACGATAGTTATGTAGACCCTGACCAAGTAGTCTGAATCTACCAATATGGTTTAGACTAGAAGTTATTGATTTTATGAACTGATGCCACGTTTTGGTTTAGTCGCCTTTAACTTTCTTCCAATTATCCTTATCACAGGTTAGTATTGAGCGTCGTGGTAATCGGTGTTCAGGCATACGTAACACGTGTTTCAACCATCTCGGTCGATGAAGATATACAACCGCAATAATTGATTTACCATCATTCCCTAATACCCTGCGTTTAACCTTACTATTACTTACCCGGTAATCCAAGCAGATGCGAGCAACACCTAGTTGAAATCTGTTAGTTGTGTGTAGAAAGACATGTTGTCTGGTTGTTTTATTTCTTTCATTTTGATAAATTGTTTCATTTTACCAAGGTGACATTGCATAATAATCCAAAGGAAAATTGTGACAAAATACTATAACTATTAATAAATACTGTAACAGATGAAGTATTTATTGTGAAATTTGGAGAATTATCTTCATTTTATCTGAGTGAATGAGATGTAAAATGCGTGTTTTAACGTTTCGAAGTAAAATGTATACTTACTTACTTACTTACACCCGTTACTCATCGTGTAGGAGAATAGGCCGCCCACTAGCACGATCATTCAACCCTATCCTGGGCAATCCTTTCCAGTTCGTTTCAGTTAATATTTATCCTTTTCATGTTTGCTTTCAAATCTCGATGCAGTATCTTCCTTCCTCTTTCTATTTTTTGTTTTCCTCTCAGGATTCTAAGTTAGCGCTTGCCTCGTGATACCATTTTATGATTTCCATAATGTATGTCCTATCCATCTTCATCATCTTTTCCTAATTTCTTCCTCAACTGGAAGCTGCTTTGTTTGTCTTAATTGAATGCTAAGTGGAAATTTAACTAAAGACTCAAATTTACTTAGGTAAAAACTGTAAACATATTCAGTTATACAACATTCTGTTGACCATTCTCTAGTCCATTGTCTCAAAAGAGTTATAGATTGAGAATTCAGAGGACGCAAATTCATTGTCTGTAGTCTTAACATTCAGTGTTTATTGAATTTTTATTACTTTTTTCAGTATTGTGGGTTCCAACAAACAGTGGAGAAATGTTTCGCATGTGGACATATTATTGCTGAGACAGTAAGTTTAAATATTCTCTAATGGGTTTATTGATATCTATCCATCTACCTTTCTATACAAGCATTGATGATTTCACTTTAAATGGTGGGTACGTCAAAAACATTTAATCTAAATAGTCTAGAACTAGTCTGATTCATAGTACTGTACTAATTAGATTGAGTGTTTTTTGACGTACTCACGATATAAAGGGAAATCATCAAGACCTGAGTGTGTACAGACCAAATCGCAGCATTACGGATCCTTGTCGAGCAATCGATTGAATGGAATTCATCACTCTACATCAACTTTATTGACTACGAGAAAGCGCTTGATTGTGTGGGCAAGACAGCACTATAGAGGCTTCTTCGACACTGTGGCGTGTCTGAGAAGATAGTCAATAACATACGGAATTCCTATGATGCATTAGACTGCAAAATCGTTCATGGAGGACAGCTGACAGACTCGTTCGAAGTGAAGACCGGTGTCAGGCTACGTTGATTACTCTCATCCTTTCTCTTTCTCCTAGTGATCGACTAGATTATGAAGACGTCAAAATCTGAAAGGAAGCATGAGATACAGTGAACAGCTAGGATGCAATTGGACGATCTAGACTTCACAGATGATCTGGCTCTTCTATTGCACACACAACAACAAATGTAGGAGAAGACGACCAGTGTGGCAGCAGCCTCAGTAGCAGTAGGTCTCAACATAGAAAAGGGGAAAGTCAAGATTCTCCGATACAACACAGCATACACCAATCCAATCACAATTGACAGAGAGGATTCGGAAGATGTGAAAACTTTTACATATTTGAGCAGCATTATCGATGGACACGGTGGATCGGACGCATATGTGAATGCTTGGATCGGAAAAGCAATAGCAGTATATTTACAATTGAAGAACATCTAGAACTCAAAACAACTGTCTACCAACACCAACGTCAGAATTTTAATACAAATAACAAGACAGTTCTACTGTGTGTTGCGAAAACTTGAAGAAATACGAAAGCCATTATCCAGAAGATACAAGTGTTTATCAAAATTTGTCTATGCAAGGTACATCGGACCCGTTGACCGGACACTATCAACAACAACCTACTGTGGGAGAGAACAAACCAGATTCCAGAGGAGGAAGAAATCAGGAAGTGGATCACTGGAAATGGATAGGACACACATTGAGGAAAGCATCGAACTGTGTCACAAGACAAGCCCTTTCATGGAATTCTCAAGGCCAAATGAAGAGGAGAGGAAAACCAAAGAATACATTACGCCTGAAAATGGAGATAGACATTAGAAAAATGAACAAGACTCGGATGGATAGAGTGGATTGGAGAATGCTGGTCGGTGGTCTATGCTCCATTGGGAGTAACAGACGTAAATAAAAGTCAAATATATATTAGACTTGGCAATGATCACTTCTAGTCTTTATCTTAGCTTTCATGTTAACGGATGAATTTTCTGAGCACTATGTATTTATATATATATATGGTCAATTAAAATGACTTTCAAAATTATTTACTTAATTGGTTCGATTTCTTGAAGCACCAGGAAATTATGATACATAAAAATATCGATTATTATGATAAATTATTGTTTATATCTTATTAATATTACTTTATCTCCATGGTACTGTTATCTTATATAAACTATTAATTGTTATACAAGATGAGTTAGGAAGACTTATGGTGATAGGTATTCAATATGATCTTTAAACTTGGTATACAGTTCGTCTTGTTAACCGTCACTAGATAACGCGTCAACGGTGTATTAATCAGAAGGCGAATACGAAGTGTTGATTAAGTTTATGATTGTACCACGCACAGATAACTAAATTTACAGGCAAGTTAAGCAAGTATAAAAGAGTAGTGCCAAAAAGCAAGCAGGCAAGTGAATGAGTCGAATGAGAGAGTCGGCAAGTTAATGAACAGAATTAAAATGTACATATATGTATACATAGTGAAATGAATGAATCATCAAATCACAATTAAGCGACTAATCGTAAGGCTAGCACAATGAATATATACGTAGGCAGTAAGCAAATGCAATGCTCAATCATACATATTCATACAAGTGCAATAATAATAAAGGTACAATGGTATAGATAAGTTGTTATTGTACAAATGACTCTGCATGTTAAATAAGTTAATAAAATGGCTTAATCAAATTAAATCTGAGTTGCTATAGAGTTCTCAATATGTTAATGATTTGCTATTCAATTTACCATATAGTTGTATTGTACATATTTACTATATTTCATTGAATCAATTATTAGAGCTCATTTCGATAAACAAATACGGTGTTTATTTTACACTGAGATTAACCTGTTTTATACAGATGATTTCATCAGTTTGACTATTCGAATAAAACTTAAAGTGTGAAGCGTGATTATATGCATTTCCTGGAGTTCTAGTGAGTAACCGTGATTAGTGGAGTTCAACCAGATCTATTGTGCGATATAAGCTTACTGACGACAATGGTGTAAGGGTGCCACATTTTCGTGGATTGGTTGAAGTTAGACCTTAACACCGTTGAATCCCGGAACAATGGTATGATGATTAAGTGCTCGCACACGAGACCGACAATTCCTGTGTTCGAATCTCTTGGGGGACGGAATTGTGTATACGTACTTCTGAGGAGTCCCATACTAGGACGAAACGGCCGTCCAGTGCTTCCCGGTTTTCCATGGTGGTCTAGCTTCAATTGACTCATGATTTCAACTATTGAAATTACTAAATCTCCACAAAACCCCTTGTGAAATTATTTATTAATTAGTGAAGGTTCAACTCTTAAGTTAGAAATCTTCATCAATATCTTTATGACACATCTTTGTCGTTAATAGACGGTACAAATTAGAGTTCATTGGAAGGTTTGAAAAATGATGGGTTTAACTCTTACTTACTTACGCCTGTTACTTCCAATGGAGCGTAGGCCGCCAACCAGCATTCTCCTACCCACTCTGTCCAGCACCTTCTTTTCTAGCTCCATCCAATTCTTGTTCATTTTTCTTATATCTAACTCCATTTTTATGTCGATCTCCATATCCCGGCGTAATGTGTTCTTTGGTTTTCCTCTCCTCTTCATTTGGCCTTGAGAATTCCATGAAAGGGGTTGTCTTGTGACACAGTTCGATGCTTTCCTCAATGTGTGTTTTATCCATTTCCAGCGTTTCTTTCTGTTTTCTTGCTCCGTTGGAATCTGGTTTGTTCTCTCCCACAGTAGGTTATTATTGATAGTGTCCGGCCAGGTTTATCTCTTAGATAATATTAAACTCATTGTTTTACAGGGAATTTTCCAATGTATTGTATTTAATTTTCATATTATGTAATCGGTGTGTATTGTCGTAGTGTATGCTACTTATATCAACAAACATAAGTAGTATGTAACACTAATCACAAGTGAAATGCCTAACAGCAATAGATTGATAAGATCAAATTGAAAAGAACGGAAATATAAACAGAGAATAATTATACTAACAATGAAGGAACGATTGAATTTAAGACAATCGATAAAAGATTTGCAAATGAAGTATTCAATGTATGATCTTTTTATAGTTTACGAAAGAATTTTTATAATTTTATACTAAACAATTAGTTGAATATCCCCACTTGAATTCTTATTCACTACTTTCAAATGTTCTTTTCCCTTCTCATCTTGATCTTCAATGTTTCTTCTTTAGTCAGTATTAATTTGTAATGAAATTATTTTAATGCCCCACGATCTGACTCCAGTTTGATCGTTTCTGATTGCTATAGAGATATACATATATATGGTCATTCCTTGTATGTAATCATTGACTTTGATCACTTTAATGTATAACGGAATGAAACAAGTCAAATAGGAGAATGGATTTTCTAATACATATATTTTGTACAATCGTTGATCGGAATGTAACGAAGAAGAGAGTGAAACAAAACGCAGTGGAGAAGTCATGTGAACTATCTCCTTTTAGTCAAGCGTTAATCAATATTTGTAGTCACACAAAATGAAGCTACAAACATGTGTTGAATAGGATAAAAAGGGCACACATATTCACGCATATATATATATATATATATATATTGACAGTCAACGTTGATAAGTGAATAATTAACAAGGTCAAAGTGTGACTTAAGTAGAATGAATAGATTGACTTGTACGAAGACTAGAGTAAAGTATATAAGCTTAACATAGCAACCAACATTACACTATGAATTATAATTCTTATCTTAAAAGAGATGTTACCATATCAGTGTACTTTTTTGGTTTTTCTTATTGTTTATGTTGTTGTTAATAGATACTTCTAGCTGTTGGAAAAACATATCATCCAGGATGTTTTCGATGTTGTATTTGTACTAAATGTTTAGATGGTATACCATTTACTATTGATTCAAATAATTTAATTTATTGTTTACCGGATTATCATTTAATTAATGGACCATTATGTGCTGTTTGTGGTTTAGTAATTATGCCAGATGAGGTAAGTTTGATAATTATTTAGAAAACAAATTTTTAATTAAAATAGGAGCATTCCATATAATTAACTTTTGATTGTCAGAAAGGGTATCAGCCTCTTGACTTCCAAAGAAACTTGTCTTTCACTATAAGGCATCATAACTCTTCTAAATGAAGACCTTCTAACTCCCAGGATAGAGTTTAAATGGTTTGAATTATTATTATTTTTTTGCTTGGAGTATTTTTAGCGAAATACTTTTGTACGAGATTGTGTCGCTAACCCTATGCATATGACTCCTTCTTTATCCATGCTTGGGATCAGCAGTAGCGTCGGAGGGGCACCAGGCAGAGTTAGCAGAAAGTAATTTGGGGAAGAGAGAATGAATTTTCTGAACTAAAAGTATAATATAATTTCAAAAGTCGAGATGTTCGAGAAGATAATAAAGTGAATGAATCTGTATTCTTGGGACTGATTCTCATCCATGTTATATAAAGTCTGTAAACATTAGTTATGACACACAAGCAGAATACAACTAATTAGTCTTGATCGAACTAAAAGGTTCAATCCAAATATCAATAATAACATGAACTGATATCATATAATGGTTTGGCAGACTAACATTCTTCCCACTTATTCTCACTCAAGTTGACACCACTCGGTTGGGTAGGTAGTGGTTGAGCTATGTGCAAATCGTGTTCTTATCCCTTCAGTCAATGAAGATTCACTTTGTCATTAATAGACTTGCCATATTTTGGCCAATTTTGTTATGGTTTAACACAATATTGCTCATTCAACTATTCCAGCATACACGTGTAATATTTCGAAGGTATCTCGCGGAAAGCGGGATCGTGGATGCGCACTGCCGAGGAGTCCCGTACTAGGTAGAGACGGCCGTCCAGTGCTCCCAGGTTTTTCATGGTGGTCTAACTTCAATTGACTCATGATTTCAACCAGTGGAACTTTTATTATGTCATAACATGACAATAAAATTAGGTAATAGAATTCTATAAAATACTCGAATAGAGTTAAGAGTTAACATAGATATACATCTATGTTGTTGCATGGCGTTGTCTTCTGTGGTAATTTTAACCGTATAGAGTTCGAATATCAATTAGTTTGAGTATTATTCTCAGTTTTGATAAGTTTCAATAGAGTTTTGGCATACTATGATCATTATCTTCCCTAATTCTATAATAATTTGATAACTTGATCAATAAGCATATATGGTAGGTTCTACATTACTTATGACTATTCATGATCAGGGCAAATTCAAATTTAAGTTTATAAAGGTATTTAGATATTGATTGGTCTGTTCTTTATTTTATGTTTATTTAAGATGGAATCTTCTATTTGAATAAATGCCTTTAGATCTGGATCCAAATTTCAAGATCCCATAGTGAATAGCCTATAACAGGAAGAATGAAATGAGATTAACTTTATCTGATGACAATTGATTGATGAGCTAAGAAATCATTGAATCATTTTAGTTATATTTCTTGTTCACCTTTAACATTTGTGAAATTGTCAATAGTCAAGTCGTTCTATTTGTAATTTATCAGTTAAATGTATTCAAGTTTATAGAGATTGATTGATCATGTAGGCAGAAGCTACGAAGTGATTAGGGTTCTGATGTGTGGGCGAGAATGATCATGATAGGTTGTCTGCTTAGTCAGACATGTAGACAGTCTGACAAGTGTCAGATAAGTTATATATTCTCTTATCCTTATTATCGGGACACTGGTACTTATTATTGATTGTTCATTGTTGTGGATGGTGTCGGTTTTGGGTGTGAAAATATATTCACGTTGTAATCAGGCTAATCACGTGTTCTTGATCTGAGTTGTGTTGACGTCCTGTGGAATAGATACTGGGAGTGATCTAGTGTAGATAATCGTTTAAGCGTTATAACATTAGACGAGGTAATGCCGAGAGTTGTAACAGGTTCTCAACAGTAAATATATATGGTGTAAGCTTTATACAACACTGTATAATTATATTGATATTTCAATCTATGGATTCAATTATAGGCATGATTTAGACTATGAAAATATTGAAGCCCCAGTATTTGAGAAACGTTAAGAATGTCAATATTGTTTACAGACAGTGAATGGAAGTATAAAAAGAAAATTCATTTTTAAGATTAGTTTATTTACATGAGCAATGATATCTATAGGCCTATGAGTAGCCTTAATATCATGTAGGACTGTCTGAAAATATAGTGAATTCGATAATGAAAGCAACAGTTTCTCAGTCATAATATGATATTTGATTCATCACTTATTTAGAACTCTTTACGAAATTTTAAACTTTCTTCTGATAAGTCTTACAATTTGAACGTTATACTCGGTTCCTGAGCTATTCTTGTAACCCCTAAGCTAGAACTATACAACGACCTGAACACGAGAAAGAAGGAGCAAAGTATGCGAGAACTACTTTACTCCAAAGGTTCATTTTCATACAGAAAATAAAGAGTTTTTATAATATTTTAAATGTCTTTAGGTTGCTCGAAGATTCTCGAATGATACTAAACATAATAACAGTATACATAATCAGCCAATTAGAACCTCTACATGTGACGTTTCACTTTCTTGATGTTTCTAGCTAAAACTTCAAATGAACTCTGATTGAATGAAATGCTTCTTACTGTTTCCTGATTCTTGGCTTGTCTTTTGAGAGAAAATTTCTGAATCACCCTAACATCTTCAACTTCGGAAAAACTCTCAAAGAAATTTTAATGAAATTGCCAACATATAATCATCGAACAATTTCACTTTCAGAAGTATTATTTACTGTTGTATGAAGAGTAAGAATTAACAATGTTGTCTGAAACAGATATACTACTTGGAGAATATCATCATATATCAGTGACAAAATGCTTTGATTTCATCTTTATGTGATGTTTTGAAATCATATGCTTAGTAAACTATACACTAGTAGGTAACTTGTCAAGTATTAAATGAACTGACTATCAGTTAGCTAATCAGTAGTAATAATAATCATCTCTTTTCAATGTTTTTCATCATTTTCTTTCATTTTGATAAAGTTTTGTTCTGTGAGCTGAATGATTTGCTCATGGAGTTTTCATCATTCTTCTAAACGATATCATCATTAGCAGAACAAATTTCAGATAGAAGTTTTTCTATCCATCCAGCACAAAGAACAAAACTCCATCAAAATCATTCATTTGAGCTATAAATCTTTATCATTTTCTTTCATGTATTTATTATCTTTTTATTTTTCTTTCTCTATTTCACCTATAAAAAAAAACAATAAGGGTTCAAATGAAGTTAAACGAGTTGTGGCACTTGGTAAAGAGTTTCATATTGATTGTTATCGTTGTATTGTAAGTAGTTTATATTCATTTCTAATTAAAATGTATTAAATTTATTAATCTTAAGTTGTATACTACTAACGAAATAATAAGTAGTATGGTAGATGAGACTATAATTTATGGACGACCTTCAAGTGATGCTAAACTGACCTTTAGGGTGTCCACTTAACAACCAGGACCAAATGAGGGTTAAAACCTGTGTGAGGAATTCAAATTATGATTTGCATTTGATGGTTAAGGTTACGAACTGAATTTAGGGTTTTCATCACTAACTAATATCATCTATGAATGCCATAAATCTATTTAGCCAAATGGATGAGTGAATTTCGCGCCAAAAATCCGTGATCTGTTATCTTATATTTGATTGATTCGTCCATAAATTATAGTTTCACCATTGTCATTTGATTACGGTATTGAATGATATTTCATAGATAATATAAACTTTTTCTTACATAACTTTGCATTATACCAAATTTGTTGGGCTGTAAATGTTTCCATTAAAAAGTAAAGAGTTGACATTTGACGAGAATAGAAAAAAAAAAGTATGTGTAACTGAGGTGTACTCAATTTTTTTTTCGGTATAATGGGTTCTAGGTTCGAAACCATAACTTTGTTACCGATTATTACGTTATTTATTTATACTTGTTATCCCTAGTCAAACATTGGGCACCAACCAAAAGTCTCTAATTAACTTTATCATTGGCTCTCTTTTCCATTTGTATTTCAAAAATAATCTGAATCCTTAATAAGTCTGATTAGCAGGAGAATCGACAATACAAAATTTGTCCTACTTTTGAGAGTTAATGTTCATATTGAGATATGAACTTGTTACATATCGTTTCAAATACCAACGGGTTATCCACTGAGTTACTGGACTCACATAGCTACTAGCTTATTTAACGGTTATGAATTTTGGAAGTTCTATCAAGGAAAAAATCAGTTAAATAGACCCAAATATGAGTAGTTCCTGATCAATTTCAGTCGTTAATATTAATAACAGGATAATATGAAACCTAAATAATAAATTTCAGTTTTCATGATTTTCGTTACCAAAGCACACACAGGTTTGTAGTTCTAGTTCTCAGACAATTTAAGCATCTTTTATACCTTCAAAAAACAACTCAGTTTCACTTGAATCTTTCTACGATATTCGTTAATCCATAGTGCTGATTGGATTTAAACAATCGAGTGGTACTCTAGCCACTACTCCAAGTAACACAAAATCTCATAAACTCTGTTTCGATATTAAGTGACTGAAGCCACTCGGTCCGAATCGTACAGTTGTAATATGTTTCAGTAGAATGCGCTGGATAACCCCTATTCAAGCTTTATGGAGCGTTAGCTAACACGAAAATCATGTCCAAGTTTTCTTATTTCTGGCTTCCAACCTTACTGATTTACTTCTTTTACCCCTCATGGAGGAGGATAGGCCGCCGACCGGCATTCTCCAACCTACTCTGTCCTGGGCGTTCCTTTCTAGCTCTATTCAATTGTTGTTCATTCTCCTCATGTCTCTCTCCATTTCTCGGTGTAATGTGTTCTTTGGTCTTCCTCTTTTCCTTCGGCCTTGAGGATTCCAAGTGAGGACTTGCCTTGTGACACAGTTCGGTGCTTTCCTCAATGAGTATCCTATAAACTACCAGCACTTCTTCCTGATTTCTTCCTTCACTGACATCTGGTTTGTTTTCTCCTACAGTAGGTTGTTGTTGATAGTGTCTGGCCAACGTATCCGAAGTACTTTGCGTAGACAGCTGTCAATAAACACTTGTATCTTCTAGATGATGGATTTCGTAGTTCTTCAGGTTTTCACACCATACAGTAGAACTATCTTGATATTTGTATTGAAAATTCTAAATAAAACTTAGATGTGCTTTAATTGGTTCAACCAGATATTGGTTAAGATGTGTGATTGGGTAATAGAATTCATGACAATTTCTGTGTTCTATTTAGAACCTGTCAATTAGATCATAATTGAAATACCTTCTAGAATTGACATTTTTACTGAAATTGATATATATTCTTTTATTATGATTTATATAATAATTGAAAAAAATAATATTCTTTTTATTTATTTAGGATTGTAAACGTAATTTAAGTGATGAATCAGATAAACGTTGTTATCCTTTCAATGAACCAGATCCTGGAATATCTGGACGTATTATACAACGTTTATTATGTTTAAATTGTCATTTACAACGAATTGGTGCTATTCCTGCCACATCAGCTGGTAGTGGTAATACTATAAACACTAATAATCATCATCATCATCATCATACAAATAATATTTCTATTACTGGTAGTCATTTAAAATCAAATAGTGGAATAATAAGTCATACTAATACAACACCTATAAACAATATCAATAATACACGTTATACAACTATGTCAAATAGAAATAATAAATTAAATACAATCAATTCTAATCAATATTTGCAACAACAACAACAACAACAACATCAACATCAACATCATCATCTTTATCATCATCCTAATCATTCTCATAATCAATTAAGTAATACATCATCAAGTACATTATTGACACATAGTTATACACCAATAACATCATATACTACTCGTAGTATACAATATACAACTCCTAATACAACAATCTCTGCAACGTCAGGTTTAAATCATCGAAATAGTAATACTACTACCACTACTACCACTACTACTACTACTACTACTACTACTACTAATAATAATAATAATAATAATAATAATAATAATAATAATAATAATAATAATAGTAGTAACAATTATGCATTGAATTGGGAGAAGACACGAACCAATAGTATAAATAAGCATAATTCACATAATCATAATGCTAGTCATTCACAATATACAAATATTCATTAGAAATTGTCAAAATTTCTATCATACAAACAATTAACTATATCTGTTTGTCTATATTATATCACCATTATCACCTTCGCTGCCACCGACGTCGTTGCTGTTGCCGTTGCCGTTGCCGCCGCCACCATCACTGCTGTTGTTGTTGTTATTATTCTTATCTCTTCTACTTTATCTTTATTCTTTGTTTATCTCTAGTCGAATAAATTGTTGGATTATTTCTGATCAACTTTATAATCCTTTATGAATTGAGGTATTTGGCATCAATCACTCATTACTATGGTTTACATTATTATAATATGAATAAATTAAAGAAGCATATATATATATATTGCCACAATATGCATTTCAAATGATCTTCCTATACAAAGCTGAAAGTAATCATTTACAAATTGTTAATACATTAAAACTATAGTTTGTTTGTTCATTCAAATGAAAAAGTATCTGTGTTTATTCATGATAAATCTTACTAATTGAATATTATATTCACTTTTAAAGCTATTCTCATAATCCCCTAAGCTAGAACGATATAACGACTTGAACATGAGAGAGATGGTGTAAAAAGGTAGCGAGAACCAATTTACGCCATAGATTTGTATGAGTACAGAAAAAATATATACAGGGTTTTTATAGTATTTTACATATTCTTAGGTTTGCCAAAAATATTGGAATGCTACTAAACACAGTAGCAGGATCAGTCATTAGCTAATCATAAACTCTATATATGACTGTAAACTGATTAGATAAAGTGTATCTTAGTGTTTTGCTGATTCATGTATGTCTTTTCCGTGAAGTTTTCTTGATCACCCTAAACAATTAAAACGAAAAAGATAACGATAATGAAATGGAAAAGAAAAACATTAATTTTTGATTCAAATTCATGTTAAATTTTAATCGTTAAGATCATAAATCAATTGAAGCTAGATCAGTATAGAAAACTTGAAAGAATTGGATGTCAATAAAATGGCTGTATGACAGGCTTTAAGCGGTTGCTCCTTATAAATATATTATTTTTATTGATAGTTGTCCATAAGGTTCTTCGGTAAATACTCCCACGTATTCATGACCACCGCTAACCCCTTTTCCTTCTCAGATCTCTCAAGAAATGTTCTTCCATTGTGTGGGCAACCGGGAAGTGACAACCGACCACACACTTCTTACAGTTATCGATATTATACTTAACTAAAAGAATAGGGAATCCATTATGTTTGATATCCCGTTCACAGTTTCCTTTGCTGTATAAACCAAGAAGCTATGTGTTAAGAAAGAGTGTTTTAACATCTAATGTGATGTAACGAATATAGATGAAGTAATCACTTTGTGATCCCTTCTCTTCTTACTCTAATAAACTATACTACTTTGACTATTTTCCATAAGTAAATGGGGTTTTAATCCCCTGACATATTCAATCAGATGGTTGATGACTCGTAGTAGTTTTCGTCATGTTGTGCTATCAGTTGGGGATTTTTTTGTACTCTCTGAGTCAGATGATCTAGTCATGCAGCATTCAGTGTCTTCCTGGACAACGAAATTCAAATCATCGACAGTCTGCAGTCTACTCTTGGTCACTTATCTGTAACTCTAGTTTTTATGCGTCACTCACTTACCATGTAGTACTCCTTTTCTATTGGATCCATTCCGTGCAATTTAATCGATTGTGTTTGCTTTATAGTCAGTTCACTTTGAATAAACAGATCAGTTATTGATGTTTGGGAAATGAATTCACTCCATATTAATCCAGTCACGTTCAGTGAGAACTCATTATTGTTTTGCTAATAAATGGGTTTTTTCGAAAAAACGAAAAATGATAAAAATTTTCCAAAGGGAGGTCTAATAATACATTATAGTTGAAATGTTTTCAGCGTCATACTAAAATCTGTTGAACTTTTCTTCTATAGCAATATCGTTTACACAAATTGCAGAAAGACCACTGGGATACATGAATAATAGTATTACAGAAAATGTGTAACACGTCACTCGTAAAGACGAAGAAAATCCGAGTGTTATAACACAAACTGAGTAGCCGCCTTGAGTTTTCCAATTTTAAGATTATATTTCAAATCAATAAAGAATGAAGTTAGTCGAAGTGGAGATCGATTCATCCCTTTGGGACGTTACATGGAGTCTGCTGATGTGCTAATATGATGTTTGTATAAATTCACCAACGTTTCTCGCAATTTGCCTTATTCCTTAACATTAAATGCATTCGGTTTCACCCATAGCTACCACAGTACGTTTCGTATCGATGCCGTTTCGTCAACTCGAAGTAATAAAAATTATCGTTTCACTTGGCTAGCAAGGTTCCTTAGCCAATACAAGGAGCATGTATAAGTGGGGGACACTCATTAATTATTCTCAAGGTGAGAATCTGAAAGCTTATTTAAATAAAAATCTGTTGTTAATCCATCTACAATGTCATACTTTACAGCTATGAAACGTGGATGGTAAAATGTAGGGAATACAAAGTGTAATTTTTCGTAGCCAAGTATAATACAAACACCATCTGGATGTGAAACCACCGGGTGAAAAGTACATGAATATAGAGTCTCACGTAAGAGGGATGGGTCAGTTCATAAAGCAACTTTTCGTTAGCTCACTAATTTTCGGTTCGACATATGAATCGATGGCAAAGTTGTTAGAGCACTTGGTTTGAAAACAATAGATTTCGGGTTCAAAATCAGAAACATCAGAATTTTGCCAGTATATTTTAAACGACTACTAAAACAACGATGCATATGAAGTCCCTCTTGATTCTCAAGTAAAAGAAAAAATGGGTGAAATGAATAACGTACTCGCAAACCACAAGTTATCGGGATAAAAAGACGCTTCCCCATTATCTTGAGACTGGTAACATTAAATATATCGATCGAAATTTCAATTGCCTTATAATTTAGTTTCCCGACATGTTTTGATGGCCACGGGACAGGATCTTCATGGCTGAAGTAGGTTAATGATCCAGATAGGAAGTGGTTATCTTCAATACTAATAAATTCATTTCTAAAAGTATTCCAATTTAAGTCCATTCCGGACCAGAAGTTGGAGCTAATCTGATGTTGATCATCAGCAGTATAAATCCAAACAAGTGACTGACTTATTTCAGGGAAACAGGGACCCATATTGACAGGAATATATTTGAAATCTATCCAAATATCTACAAAACAAGGTTTGAAAATATTTATCAAACTTCTCACATTTCAGGTTACAAAGGATTATAATCGGTGCGAGGAAGAGAAAGACCACGGTGATTACATAGAAAACAAATGTTTTTGACCATACGAATGCCTTGAAAACCTTTTCTTCAGGATAGTGAAAGATTTCAGTCGTCGCGCCTCTAAGCAGTTGATCAGCAATTAATTTTAGTCGTTTCAAGTGGTTTTGAAAGGAATAGAGAAATGTTTTCGCCCAGTGGGTTTCCTTATCTGTTAGCGGTGTACAGTCGATGCCTCCAGGTAAGAACTAAGGTGAATTAATTATAGGAGGAAACAAATTAGGAAAATATAGCTAAGTACTGAAATAGTCCTTGATAATATGTTATGTTTTCTCTCAATAAACTCCCGAGAAATCTCTTTGTCTAGCTTGGTTGGCAGCGTATTCCAAGATTTGACTACTCACAAGGAATTAAGGATATCTCTGGACTCCGTTTCTGCTGTGTTGTGTCTCCTGTTTGTGGATGTAACACCTAGGTTTTGTGTTCAGACAAAGCTTACGTAGCTATTTAATGGGATATTGAGAACTGTTTGTGATACTGTAATTCATTAGGTCACCTCTAAGACGCGTGTACTCTACTGACGTCAGCCTTACGCTTGCGATCCGGGGCGGTTGTCCGTTGGTCCACCGCCGTCAGAAGTAACCCTTACTGAAACCGTGCTGTCGGGGTGAAAAGAAGTTTATGGGTAATAAATAATCATGTAAACCGTTACATACCAAAGACTTCATAACGTTTGAGGGTATGGAAAAAAGTACTACCTGTCGGTAGCTTGAAGGTCTGCTGCGTCGACCTCCTTTGAAAGTTGATGTTTGATGTATCGGCTTGACGAATGTAAAAACATCATGCCATGTGGTATTGCAATATCGAAGCTGCTTCCCTTGGTATAACGGGATGAACGATAACCGGGCCATGTGAAGAGTCTTTGTTTAAGTGCTGCAGTTTCTGATACACCAAGTCATCGCTCAGGCTCACTTCTGAGAGCTCACTTCAGTTGCAAGTGTGGCCTTCATCGATTTAGTTGACATGAGTCCGTTGAAATGTTCGAGATTACTGTTCTGCTGAAAGGTCGATGGCGTTACTGTCGTTGTCGGCTGGGCTGCTGGATGAACTACTTGAGAAACTACCGTTTCGGCTTGTCGGAGAGAAGCCTTTTGATGAATTACGTTTTTCTGATCGGAGACAAATTTATCGACTAGCTTTGTCCGATATTGAAACCTGTCTTCTATAATTGCCTTTATGCGTTGGTTCTTTGTGTCATGTCCCGACAAGAATAATGAATAGTAATTTTGGGAACAATTTGTGAACCAATACTAAACGTATATTTTTATAGTATAATTATTAAATAACCAAACTATTCATATTCATGTTCTTCTTATTATAAGCTTTATTTTGACCTATGGAATCATGAGTCTATCAAAGCTAGATACTCATGGAAAACCTGCAGTCACTAGACAACCGTTTTGTTCTAGTATGGGACTCCTCAGAAGTGAGCGTCTACGATCCTACCCTCCGCGAGATTCGAACCTACGACCTATCAGTCTCGCGAACGAGCGCTTAACCGCCAGACCACTGAGCGGGCATCCAATGGTGATAATGTGTTAATGAGACTGATAGATCTTGGGTCCGAATCTCGCGGAGGGTGGGTTCTGTGGCCTGACAAGAATAATGAATGTTAATTTTGGGATCCATTTGTGAAGCAATACTAAACGCATATTTTTATCATATAATTGTTAATTAACTAAACTATTCATATTCATGTTCCTCTCATTATAGGCCTTATTTTGATCTATGAACTATTATTATACGTTTTACCATTCTTGAATTATGCCCTGTTTATTAGTCACTACCTCCCACATTTACAGCCACATTTGGTCAAATTTCGTACAAAAGTTATTTTCTATTTTATGCTACGTTGTGGTCTGTTTGATTGTTTTATAAACTCAGTATGTTTGAAATATAACGATTCGAATTGCAGAGGCTGAGACTGGCGTTCTGGATTTAACTGGCTGGGTTAGGCGGAAAGCGAGTTCAATCAGAACTCTAGGCTGCTCGCACGTGTTTTACGCGTTCTTGGTCCGATCAATTTATTAGCCACCACTGATTGACGGCTTTCGGCTATAACACTTTGCTTATTTGAATTTCCCGTACTCACTGTTGTCACCAGTTCGTTTGTATTTTACCCAGTAGTGCCTTTTGCGGTTTAGTAAACAAAGACTGCGGTTCTTGATGACTGCAAGTTGCTTTCAGTTTTCGGGGAACGTGTGCGGAAGAGACTGCTTTGAAGCACATAAGATTATGTGCAGCAAGAAATCTCAACGAACGTCCTCATCAAGCTGAAAGTGGACTTCCCAGTCTATCTGCTGCGGGTTGTCCTGTAAAGCCGACATGACCAACCGTTTGAAATTCTGACGCTCGTTATTGATGCTTAGATTCGCTAATGAAATTGAAGGCTAGAACGCATGACCACTTTTACTTAGTCCAGCCAAGGTTGAACGGTTTTCAATTGGGAATTCTTCGTCTGTAATTACGCAGTCTAAGCGTGACGGCGTGTGACTAGTTTTTCAAACAGTTGCTGATTTGACATCTTCGTAAAACCCAGATTTTCAATGAATTAGAAGAGCCGAGTTTCACTGAGGTTTTCACCTTCAATGTGCGTATGTTCAGCGAAGTTGACTTTAGGAATATTGAAGTCTCCTAAAATCAGGAAGTGAGTGTTTTGGAGACAAGTAACACAGTGTGCTTTCTTACGCGATGCCCGTACTGCGCTTCCTGTGGATGACTCCAACTAGACACCTCGTGATGGTAGACAATGTTACTGAGCACCATATAGATTCATAAGGATTGATAAACTCTTAGGTGTATACTTGATGTGGCAGCCGCTATCTGGGAGGGGATGGAGCGGTTGTCCTCAGTAGCCGGTGTCCAGATTATCCTTCATTCTTGGCTATTCGAGTCGTGTGTTAGATCAATATTTTCTTGAACTTTAAGGACTGTTTTTAGAATTTCTACTCTAGAATATCGTAGTATGCACTACCGGGGACCGTGTTTTCTGAGACACCTCGCACAATTATATTTCTTCCTCGAAATAGCATCTCACGAGATTCTTGAGGGCTGTTCTCGAACTCAGAATATGGTATATCGCACAGCATTCACACATACCTTTGTGGTTTCAGCAAGTAACTGGCCAGCAGAACATCCTCTACATCAACAGTGCTAGTGATTTTCACATAAAGAAGTCTTGGATGATTTTGATGTGATGAATCCTTCCCCTGTATGAACCGTGTAACAGTTAGTGATAAAAGTTAGGAAATTTTGAACCTCCTGTTCAACTTTGTCCACGAGATTCCGCCATATTGTCTTGCAGACTGAGAGGAAGGTCAAAACTGTATTTAAGTTTCACGATCATGTCAGAATCATCGTGAAACGTGAGCATTCAAGTATGTTGTGTTTAAAGTCGTTTTTATTTGGCAGTTGAAATGTGCTTCAAATCGCCATGCTCCTTACTGATTGGTTGGACAGATTTACTGCGTATATTGCACGGCTAATTCACTAAATGATCTTTTTACAAGACCTGTGTTGTTCTACGTTTTGAAGGTGACGCTCGGACCTTCTGAACTCTATTATCGGAGAATGTCGCTTAAAGAATTTTTGTGGAGCCTGTGCTGGGAGACGTAATTTAACTGAAAGAGTTTTGTATCATCGATTTGATAATATTACTGAGCTTCAGATTATCCCCACTGATGTCGAAGCTTGTTCAATCGCTGTTACTCAGCAGTGATATCCTTATATAGGTGTCAAATAAACTTCAATGTTGGATCTCTGTTTGTGAAATGTTTCAAGCTTTGTGATGTCAAAAAACTAAAATCTCAAAATTTTTAAAGCGATTGCTGATCGAAGTGACTTACTTTTTTTGTAATTTGTTTTGGTCGATAACCAAGCAGTCGCTAACCACTCGCTCAAGAGCGCGATGACTGAAATCTTTCACTATCCTGAAGAAAAGGTTTTCAAGGCATTCGTATGGTCAAAAACATTTGTTTTCTATGTAATCACCGTGGTCTTTCTCTTCCTCGCACCGATTATAATCCTTTGTAACCTGAAATGTGAGAAGTTTGATAAATATTTTCAAACCTTGTTTTGTAGATATTTGGATAGATTTCAAATATATTCCTGTCAATATGGGTCCCTGTTTCCCTGAAATAAGTCAGTCACTTGTTTGGATTTATACTGCTGATGATCAACATCAGATTAGCTCCAACTTCTGGTCCGGAATGGACTTAAATTGGAATACTTTTAGAAATGAATTTATTAGTATTGAAGATAACCACTTCCTATCTGGATCATTAACCTACTTCAGCCATGAAGATCCTGTCCCGTGGCCATCAAAACATGTCGGGAAACTAAATTATAAGGCAATTGAAATTTCGATCGATATATTTAATGTTACCAGTCTCAAGATAATGGGGAAGCGTCTTTTTATCCCGATAACTTGTGGTTTGCGAGTACGTTATTCATTTCACCCATTTTTTCTTTTACTTGAGAATCAAGAGGGACTTCATATGCATCGTTGTTTTAGTAGTCGTTTAAAATATACTGGCAAAATTCTGATGTTTCTGATTTTGAACCCGAAATCTATTGTTTTCAAACCAAGTGCTCTAACAACTTTGCCATCGATTCATATGTCGAACCGAAAATTAGTGAGCTAACGAAAAGTTGCTTTATGAACTGACCCATCCCTCTTACGTGAGACTCTATATTCATGTACTTTTCACCCGGTGGTTTCACATCCAGATGGTGTTTGTATTATACTTGGCTACGAAAAATTACACTTTGTATTCCCTACATTTTTACCATCCACGTTTCATAGCTGTAAAGTATGACATTGTAGATGGATTAACAACAGATTTTTATTTAAATAAGCTTTCAGATTCTCACCTTGAGAATAATTAATGAGTGTCCCCCACTTATACATGCTCCTTGTATTGGCTAAGGAACCTTGCTAGCCAAGTGAAACGATAATTTTTATTACTTCGAGTTGACGAAACGGCATCGATACGAAACGTACTGTGGTAGCTATGGGTGAAACCGAATGCATTTAATGTTAAGGAATAAGGCAAATTGCGAGAAACGTTGGTGAATTTATACAAACATCATATTAGCACATCAGCAGACTCCATGTAACGTCCCAAAGGGATGAATCGATCTCCACTTCGACTAACTTCATTCTTTATTGATTTGAAATATAATCTTAAAATTGGAAAACTCAAGGCGGCTACTCAGTTTGTGTTATAACACTCGGATTTTCTTCGTCTTTACGAGTGACGTGTTACACATTTTCTGTAATACTATTATTCATGTATCCCAGTGGTCTTTCTGCAATTTGTGTAAACGATATTGCTATAGAAGAAAAGTTCAACAGATTTTAGTATGACGCTGAAAACATTTCAACTATAATGTATTATTAGACCTCCCTTTGGAAAATTTTTATCATTTTTCGTTTTTCGAAAAAACCCATTTATTAGCAAAACAATAATGAGTTCTCACTGAACGTGACTGGATTAATATGGAGTGAATTCATTTCCCAAACATCAATAACTGATCTGTTTATTCAAAGTGAACTGACTATAAAGCAAACACAATCGATTAAATTGCACGGAATGGATCCAATAGAAAAGGAGTACTACATGGTAAGTGAGTGACGCATAAAAACTAGAGTTACAGATAAGTGACCAAGAGTAGACTGCAGACTGTCGATGATTTGAATTTCGTTGTCCAGGAAGACACTGAATGCTGCATGACTAGATCATCTGACTCAGAGAGTACAAAAAAATCCCCAACTGATAGCACAACATGACGAAAACTACTACGAGTCATCAACCATCTGATTGAATATGTCAGGGGATTAAAACCCCATTTACTTATGGAAAATAGTCAAAGTAGTATAGTTTATTAGAGTAAGAAGAGAAGGGATCACAAAGTGATTACTTCATCTATATTCGTTACATCACATTAGATGTTAAAACACTCTTTCTTAACACATAGCTTCTTGGTTTATACAGCAAAGGAAACTGTGAACGGGATATCAAACATAATGGATTCCCTATTCTTTTAGTTAAGTATAATATCGATAACTGTAAGAAGTGTGTGGTCGGTTGTCACTTCCCGGTTGCCCACACAATGGAAGGACATTTCTTGAGAGACCTGAGAAGGAAAAGGGGTTAGCGGTGGTCATGAATACCTGGGAGTATTTACCGAAGAACCTTATGGACAACTATTATTAAAAATATTATATTTATAAATAGCAACCGCTTAAAGCCGGATACACCCATTTTGTGCGAAGCTGCTTATGTGTTAGCTGCATACTTTAAAAGCTCTTACTGCTTGATATGAAAATGTGTGAGGCTAAGGTACGGCATGATGTTTTTCGAAGAGACCTTCACTAACTTCCCTGATTCGGGTGTGGTAAGGTAGCATCGCTACGAACCTTGGTTGTCTTAGAAAAACACTTTACTGCCAGTGTGTCTCCTTGCGAGTTTTCCCTGTGACCTTAAACTGGCTTTTAGTCCTACTGTCTTCTAGTTGAGCTTTCTGGGCTGGTGAGGCTCAAAATAACAAGTGTTCGAGCCAATTTAGCTAGACAAACACATTTCAATAGACAAACTCGATCACCACATCAAGGTAGGAGTTAACATCGAATTCTTTTCAGTTAACCTTATGAGAAATATGATAAAACAGTAATAAATAATATATACACTTTCTAATACATTAATATAGTGAAATATATACCGACTTATACTCCATACACTCGACCTTGAGATAGCAAACGAGCCTAGATATGTGACAAATTTATATTCACTCAGTCTATCAGTTAGCATTATGCCTGGACTACTGGATTTTATCTCAGTTCAAGGGTAATATTCTCATGTCGAGACCTCAAGGCTTTGGACACAAATAGTAGCGAGAAGAGTTCTAAGACAAAACAACAATAACAACAACCGTGGTTTTCAAACGTTCTGCAGTTGTTGACCATTTGTGAATAAGGCTTGGAAGTATTACATAGTTTGCATTGGTCATTTTATTACTAATGCACATATATAATAAATTTTCTTTTTAATTTATAGAGACCTGTAATAAATATGAAAACTGTACGTTATAATTCAATAATTTCTAACTTAAACGATGCAATGTATGATCTGATGGATAGAAATTGTAAGTTTATTCTTCAAAATAAACCAAAACATTTTCATAAAACTATAAAGAAGTTTATACATATGCTAGGTTTGAAGCTATCACGAGTTCACTTAATCTGCGAACGAGAAACAAGACTCGGTGACCAAATACCAGTAAGCTAGCTATTGATGCTTCCCAGCCCCGCTATCCAGAGGGAGAAGTCCAAGCTTAAAATAGGAAGTATATTCTGCAACAGTCAGAAAACGAGCTATCCAACAAACACGGTTTAAAACATATATATATATATCGATATTACTATGGAGCTTTTAAACTTTTAATCGATAAGTTCGTCAATCGACTATGTGCGTGGGTGGTAAGAAATGCCCACGCATACAAGCTCCACAAGATAAAATTACAAACTATGAGTTTTTTGGGGATCTATTGTCCCCCAACTTGTTATCATTATAATACTGTTGAATTGAATTACATTAGACCTGAAGGTTGTTTGTTATAGGAGGATTTGAATAGTTTTATTACAATCTCAACTTAACTTAGCGAAACTTACTTGATAAATAAGTTCTAGAAAACACACAAGTTATGCTGTTTATCGTATGGTTTAATAATGATGAGTAATCCACCCGCTAAACAATTACCGATATCACTACAAATGTGAAGAAATTTGTTGGTCACATTAAGCTATTGAATAGCGGAGATCGCTATTTTCACCTATTAAATGAACTGGAACAGATTATGAATTATTGTTTCATTTTGATAATTCTACATTACTAAGAAAGGATATATTCCATCTAAATACCATGGATTTGCATAATGCAATGATTTGGTTCAATGTGTGGTCACTTGTCTGAATGACTTAGCAACAGGTGCACTATGTTTGCAGGTTAGATGGTTGGAAATGTTGAGCTCAGTTTTCATGTTAGTCAACATTCCTCAGCATGTTTTGCTAGTAATATAGGCAGAACTGATGTTCCCTGTATCTGCAATCTCAAGGAAACGGACGCTTTATGTCCAAGTTGAAAGCGCTATTATTGGAACATTGACATCGCTCCTGGTATTTGGGCACGAGGGAGATGTCAAAAAGTTTAGTCAAAGAAGAGTAATCAATAACACATGCCTGTTTAGATCTTAGTGACAATCGAATGAGATCGAACAAAACGTGGATCCTGATCTAAATCGCCAAATAGCGTGCAGTTTTGATACACCTAGGTAACAAGTCTCAACTAATATAAGACCTAGGTTCATCAATTCCTGTTGAATGCTTCCAATTACATGGCATTCATCAAAATGTCTCGTGATGCCAATCCAATTAAACTAGAGACCGCGCATTAAAACCCGATCGATGGAATCTTTTTAGTACTAAGGATTAGAGCGAGATAAGCTTAGGGTTCATTACTCGGTGACATCAGAAAAATGTATTCCAAGTGAAAAACTATTTGCCACTTCAATTTAACAAACTCTATTAGGCATATTCTTATATTCAGAATAAATATGCCGAATCTGAGTACAGTTGTGTAACGGTCGTACATGAAACGTTTTCATATGAACAACACAAAATCAAGAGATTGAGTAAATGAAGAAAATCAATACATGGTTGGAGGGAAAAATCATACGCTACTTCAAATGATAATCATGGACTGATGTCTTATTTGGGTTAAATCATCCATATGCTTTTTCTCTAATACAGGTCTTGGTAGTGAAATGGTTTACCTGCCCCATCTTTGCCTGGAATGTAGGCTTAACTACATAACAGCATAGCCTAAAAGTTCCATCCCTCTTGAACAGGTTTTCGAGAAATATTGTAACGTAAATTCTTCTCTTGTGAATAACAGCCATGTAACACTGGAGTGACATACAAATCGAAATCGTTGCAATATACGATCGAGTCAACAAAACGGTCACATGTTTCAACTTTCAGTTAGTACATGCTGAAAAAATCAGAATTAACATCCAGTATTATTTACGCTGAAGTTTAGTGAAAGGCACCAACTAAGTATCACTGTAGATAGGATGCTGATTAAATAATGTACACCTGATCAAGAAATTAACCCCTTCATCATGTACTTGGATATGAGCTGCACTCTAACCGTGAAGGCTAATGGTACTATTTGGTTACTCAGGTTGAAATAGGGTTCCGACTCGGGATTTAGTGAAAGGAAGCTGAGCGAACACCTTAACTATTAAGACACTATTCCACATAATTCAGTATACCTAGTTTGTTCTTTCTCATGCTTATTTGTAGTGACCCTTCATCTCGGGAAAACACATCGCTTTATGTCAACTAGAGAAACAGATGCCCAACCATCAGAATCATTTCATATTACATTGGTAATAAATCTTCCAGAGCAAGAAGTATTGTATCCTTTTAAAGTTTTCACCATGCATATATATTCGTTTACTGTGGGATTATTATTATCATGTAGAAGGTAATCAAAACATGTGATGAAATCAGTTCACAAAACCACTTTAGCTAATGATCATAACTGTATCAGGAGATGAAGACTTCATAGTTAGCCAGCCATAATTTGTAATTGAAGATCCTAGATGACAATTCAAAATGACGTAGGTGTATGGTTCCCGAGTAAGTGGTGCTGAGGTTAGACGCAGGGTACCAGGCAGATATAATAAATAGATTGATAAGATTGTGAATTTTCGTCTGCTGAAGTGACTGCAACATGTGGTACACATCCCCAATAAACTCTCAACGTATAATACTGGTCATCGTAAGAGTGAGTTGGAGAGAAGCTAGTGGCAGGTGAACTAAAAGGAGACATCAATTTCTTAAACCAATAACAGGTAGTCTGAGCCATATTAGTAGATCCAGACAATCTGACTAGGGTCCGACTGATTGTCATGATCATTAGCTGGAGATGTTAGATGAAACTCTACAAAACGGGTCCAGATGCGTTCCTTCCTTATCTTCCAGTAGCTTTAACAAATATATCGCTTGAAAGTCATTGATTATTACTTGAAGCCATATAAACAGATTCCTTATTCATTTATTTAAACACATAAGTATAGGTACAGAGAGGCATCAAGTACATATGCGCCACACGAATCTCAATTGATTTGTGTGAGGGCTGTGATACTGCCCGGGTGCCCAAACCGAGGCAGGTGGTTTTCTTAGGGGGCCACACCCCGAGCCTTTGACCTGAACGTCTGACCCACAAGGCAGTGGAGCATCGTGAGGAGATGCAGTCCTATGGTAGCCGGTGACCAACGATTGGTTCATACGCCATTTGTTCCTTCAGGATACTGGAGCCCATGTGCACCATTGGTTTTGGATCTGGTTAAAGCGCCGGACATTCGCTTTTCGTCCTCTCATTTTCGTAAACAACACCCCCGCCACGTGAAGGCAGTAAGTAGGACTTCCCTGGCAGGGGCTATATACGCGTGGCCATGTGAGAGCATTTCGAAAGGGAGAGCGGACTCTTCCTACTCTCGGCCGTACCAGGGCATTTGGGGGCAACAGATTCCTTGGTCAGGTATCTCGATGCAATACTTACAAAGTGGTTGAAAACATTGACTTTTTATAAATGTACAACGGTGCATCAAATATCAAATTGAACCTGTGTGTGTACGCACTGTAACTACTACCGATTTCTTTAATTCACATAGAATCTAACACGAATGAGCACCAAAACTAGGCATGCGCCACGCAAATAATAAAGGTCTGTGCTACGATACTGACCGAGCACCCGAACCGGTCGTTTTTTTGGAAGATCACTCCCAGAGCCCATGAACAGAAGTTCTTATCCACAACGCAGTGAGGCAAAGTCAGAGGACGGCGTCTCATAGTAGTCAGTGTTGAAAATAGGTTGGTGTGTCACTCGTTTCCAAGGGATCCCTGAGCTCTCCTTGGATAACCATTAGTCTGGAATCAGGATTTGCCAACTACCCTGGATGGGCTCTCGGTCTCCATCAGCTTGGTCGGCCCCCAAATGCCCTGGTACGGCCGAGAGTGGGGAGAGTTCGCTCTCCCTCTCGAAATGCTCTCACATGGCCATGCGTATATAGCCTCCGCCAGGGAAGTCCTACTCACTGCCTTCTCGCACCACGGGTGTTGCTTACAAAAATGAGAGGACGAAAAGCGAATGTCCGGCGCTTTAACCGGACCCCAAACCAATGGTGCACATGGGCTCCAGTATCCTGAAGGAACAAATGGCGTATGAACCAATCGTTGGTCACCGGCTACCATGGGACTGCATCTCCTCACGATGCTCCACTGCCTTGTGGGTCAGACGTTCAGGTCGAAGGCTCGGGGTGTGGCCCCCTAAAAAAACCACCTGCTTCGGTTTGGGCACCCGAGCAGTATCACAGCCCTCACACAAATCAATTGAGATTCGTGTGGCGCATATGTACTTGGTGCCTCTCTGTACCTATACTTATGTGTTAAAATAAATAATAATAAATAAATAAACAACTTGGTCAGTGTCGGACGTTTGCGTCTTGCCCTCTTATTTGCGTAAATAACACCTCAGAAGCGGGAAGTTAGTGAGTGGGACTCCTTTGTTAAGGGCTATAAATGCATCGCCGAATGAGAGCGGACTTTCCTCACTCTCGACCAAACCACGGTCTTTGAGATGGCCGCATCGCAACTGTATGTTTTAAGTAAAAGTCTATCAATATGTTTCCTTAATTATGTTTATCCTCCAAACAATATGCGAAATCAGATTTGAAACACCATTTATTCATAGATTAAAATGGGCATATATCTTTTACATTGGTATATGGATTATATTTTATTGGCCAATTCAATGGTTACAACGTTGGGTATTTGAAAAACGTCGATTGATGATCTGTGATAATTTAGTTGAATTTAAACAACCATCAGCGAATGTTTACTTAAGTCAATTGAAGAATGAATGGTGATGATGAATGGACAACTTTCTATGATACAAGTTCACAAGATGAATAAAAGTGGACACTAATTTCTATCCATCTCAAACTCAATGAAATACATTAATCATATACAATAGAGTATACAATATCTGAAGAATATCACTGTACATTGTTCTAAGTATGTGTACATAAATATATATTTATCTATAGCTTTTTTCTAAAGAGAAATGTTTGACGAATTGACTTTGCTTTGGATATTTGCCGTAATTCACCACTCAAGTGCGACTTGGAACCTGACACATATGTACACCAATTCAAGTTATCATATCACACTGGTACATCAGTACAACAAAGCATTTTCACTTATTACATAATGAAATAATGTATGATTTCTTTGCAGATTAATGGATGCTTATTATTTATTTTAACACATAGATATTGGTTTTCGCAGGATACTCAAGTACATGTGCACCATTGATTTGGGGTCCGGTTAAAGCGCCGGACGTTCACTTTTCGTCCTCTTATTTTCGTAAACAACACCCGTGGTGCGAGAAGGCAGTGAGTAGGACTTCCCTGTCAGAGGCTGTATACGCGTAGTCATGTGAGAGCATTTCGAGAGGGAGAGCGGACTCTTTCCACTTTTGGCCGTACCAGGACATTTGGGGGCTAATGGATGTGTATTGCTGAGTAGCCCCATACTGAGAAAAAACGGTCATACAGTGCTTCGAAATTTTAAATTATTGTTTGACTCTGATCGGTTCGCGAATTCAATGAAATTAAACAATCTCCATAACCCTACACTGACAATAAATGATCTCATTGACATACCTTACTTTTATTTACAGTATTACTCGTATTGTTAAATTATACATAGTCATTAAATACTTTCAGTTATAAAAAACTACTATACATTGTCTGTTTACTGATCCCATAACATGGCTCATTCCGAGTAATTTTGTTCATTTAATATAGATAGATAGAAGTGATAGTGGAACCAACAAATACGTAATGCTAGAAATGGTCAACTTACAGAATGACTCACTATTTAAGTGGTCCGGACCTGTATAAGATATATTCTTAACTACCACTGATTGTCCCAAAGCACAATTCTATCTGGATTTTTAGTAGGTCAACCAATTAGTCCGTTGTATACAACGCAGAAACTGATATTTATGTACACATAAGTTCAAGTTACCACATCCCATTAGCACGAGATAAAAATTCTAAAACAGATCCCAGAGTAATAGAAGTGGTTAGGAGAGAGAAATGAGCGGTATAATGAAGTGATGGAATCAGTTTATGAAATCACATGGGTTAGTTGTACACTTTAGGTTGGAGGAGAATCTGCCAGCTAATTCTGATCTATCCCTAGAGATATCACGAAGTGACATTACGGGTTAATGAAAATGATCTCAATCGCATACAGTTGCATTCATTTGTTAGCTTTCTAAAAAACCTTCAGTTTATTGTATCTGTTCTATTTATTATTATGATAATAAATAAGAATAACTAAGTTATCAGTTAGCTTATTCTTACTTTTCCTCTTTCAATCTATTCAGCTTTCTTATCTAATTTGCTTTAAGTATTCATGAGACTGCCATCAATTTTTATTTGTTTAATTGTGGAATTTAATTTTATTAGACATTTTGTATTGTTTAGTTATTGAAGATCTTTGTGTTGAACATGTTGGTCGTTTTTTCCTCTCCTTCTTCGTCGTTGTTGTTGTTTTTGTAATCGTCTTTATGGTAGAAGTGTTTTCTTCTTTAGGATTCAATAAATGCGATAGACCAGCTGAACGTATCCCCTGTAACAATTGTTCACGTGCAAATTTTAACTCAGTTGATAAATGTTCTATTTCAGGTGCATTTAATAAAGCTGGAATCAGTGTAGATCGAAGCCAACGTGGACTATTGCACCCCATCCCCAACAACAACAAACAAAGAAAACAATAAAATAGTTAACTTTTGTATTGAATGGTCACTTTATAATGTTATGGTTGTTTCATCATTAGCTTTGATAACACTCTACTGATTAAGTTGAAATATGGCCAACAGACCACAATTACTATACACTGTCAAATATCTAACATGATGGTAGACAGTTGAAGGTATTCGATAAGAAGTACTGGCTATTCAAAGTCAATGAGTATTTACATACCTAAAGCTGGTGTTACTATTTTTTTGGGATTTGGACCCGCATCATTTATAGACGTTACAATTTTACCGTTTGACCCGCGAATAAACCGCACGACCACAACTCGTCACTGTAACTAATTACGAGTCATGTTACCTAAAGTTTTTAATTATCAATTATGGAAATCTTAATCATTCTAACTGGGAATTCTGTATCTCTTTAAACCGCTGTGACCAAAATTTAACATTTTATTAAACTGATAAGATTACTTGATTTAGTTTCCCCTTATTTTAGTTTAAGCAATCTATTACATTCGAACGAAGGATGAGTGAATGGAAACTGCTACGGATTATTTATGGACTACATATATTCCTATTGGATAATTATTAAGTAACTAGATTATATGTATATTCATATTCATTTTGTCATAGGCCTTCATTTAACCAGCACGCAGGATTCAAACCCATGACCTTCGGTCTCGGTTTATGGTGTGATGCGGTCTCGTCTGCTTGTATATAAACTAAGTATGTCCGAAATATACGATTCATACAGTGGAGGCTGATATATGTGTTCTGGACTGAACAGGCTGGGTAAGGCGAAGACTTACTATATTAAGGACCAATAAGGATTCATAATTGACTCAGGTTCAAAGAAGTCGATAATCTGATTGGCGATTTTGTCGTGTAATAAATGACAGGGGCGAAAGCCATAACATAGTCCTTGTACAAAAAGTGTAGATCGAAATTGATAAAGTAAACCCGTACTTTGCAAGTGTATATTGTATTCTCGTGTAGTGCAATTATTGGTGCCATTATACTAAGTGGTTCTACACTCAGCATAGCATGTACAGGTAGGTGATAGCAATTCATATACAACATTTACATTTGCAACCCCATTAATCAATGGGATACCTACCTAATGTGAGTAGTAGATCTCAAGTCTAATTGGAAAATCTAATGACTGTTGGGAGCGCTCCTACAAGGCACAACGAAGCCTCCAGAGGCTCTAAGGAAGCCGAAGAGATTCCATTTAATCACAGTCCGATGGAGTCTTCTGGAATATCGACGTGGGATGTTGTGATAGGATAACTGTACAAACTTTCTGCTTGCAGATTAGTTGGATTACAATGATGTTACAACCAATACCAAAAATTATATGTACACCTATTTTTCTGTACGTTTTGACGCTTACTTCAGTAAACTCGTCTCCTGTTTCCTTCTGCTTTTTGCTTCGCAGCTTAGGAGTTTAACACGTTCAAGTGCTGAAGTCGCATGCCGTTTTAGGCGTATTCAAGTAATGAACTTAACAATAATATATAAGTATTTCCCATTAGATTTCTACTTCTTAAAAGAGAAACATTATGCAAAGGTCGAAACATATAACCGGTTTGCTAAAAAATCGCTGATGAGACAATAACTGGTATATGCTTGGTGAATAGATGAAATATTATGTAACTAAGTGAATTCATATCCTTGTATGGATTGTTTTTTTACTATCATTGTAGTAACTGCTTCTGTGAATTCGGTGTTCACCTTGTTGTGCTAATGAGGTATGGCAACTTGGACCGATGCACATATATGTCTGATCCTACGCCGTAGATGACTGACTGCATTGAGTGAACAAGTACACATCTGTTTAACTGACTATTTCACACTTTTATAATGCCAGAGCTAGGAATATCATTTACAACGAGCTTAAAAGAAACCGAGAGGCACTGTCAGAAGTGTAAGGGGAGGTCTACACTTCTCGATTGCTCATACCGGGGAAAGGTACTACTGCTTGAGTCACCTGACTTAGTGACCTGAGGTTGTGACCGCAGTGCTCGAGCGGCAACGCAAAAGTTTATTTTTCAGTAGTTCCTGATGTGTTAGCTCTGACTTTCAAAGCCCTACGATCGAATACAAAGATCCATGGGTTAAGGTGAAGTGTGATATTTTGAGGGTTGATTTTCTCTAATCCTCTCCTCCAGCTGTAAGAAGACAGTACCATTGTAGACGCAGTTCGTCTGAGAAAACTGCTTTATTGCCATCACACTCCGATATAGTTAGCCGTACGACTTCACCTTCGGACTTTAAGCAGCTTTTTCTAGTATTATCACTTTCCAATCGACCAGACTGCAATAGTAGGATTCACAGGAACACGTATTCTAGCCAATATAGTTCAGTTAAATCTCAACAATAGCTAAACCAGACCACGACTTCAATGTGGCAGCTACAATCGAACAAAACTCAAGTAGATAAGGTGTGGTTAAAGTCTGTAACCTTATAAGTGAAAGTCGAGTTTTGATTTGAGTAGAATGAGATTTTCCACACATGCTTGGAAACAAGAACAGTTCTTTACAAAAGGTAAATAGGTTTTCTGTTTTGATTGATCAATATGAAAAGTCGTACTACCCAGTTAATCAAAATACGCAGTCGGCGAAACCATCGAAAGCTTTTAGTATAAAGGGTAGAACACAGAATTCAGTTGCAAGAACTTACCGAAACAGATTTACTTCATTCCATTCGGACGGTAATCGACATTTAGAAATATCACCACTACAATTATCAACAGTATGTTGTGTCGCGATTTCATTCAGCCAATTTAGAACATCACACCATCCTGGAGTAGTATAAACATTTGGGCAATCAGAGATTTTTTTATCCGTTGTGACCGTTTTTGTTGCACAACAGTGTTCCTGGAAGACATTGCAAAGAATCTTATTTATTGTAATAAGTTACAGCAATGAAGTAATATATAGATACACAAAAATTACTGATAATGATTGAGGGCAGTTGGTAGGAATCCCTGAACACAGGCTTCGCGTTAGTTGGTACTCACCATCAAGGCGCAAGTGAGATATTGAAGGAAATGATCCACCCAGTTGAATTCAAATCTGCGCCATTAAGCCTCACCAAAACTTGTGGAATGAAAAACGCATATGTAGAGCTTGTAGGTTTGAGCATTGTCTGATATTTAACATGATCATTTTAACGAAAAACATACTCTGTTTAAACATTTTTGATCAATAAGCTTTGACCAGAACTAAAAACTAAACAATTTGATTTTGATTAGGAAACGATGTGTAATCTGTGCAACGATTGTTTACTACAGGCCTGATCAGCCCTAATGGGTCGGTGTCTGACGAAATCTCAGCACGGATTCAAAAAGCTCGTCTGGCTTTTGCCAACTTACGTCACCGTCTATTAATCAAAAGACAAGTATACCGCGCGGTATGGCGACATGGACCAATGCATGAATGTGCCCGGTCCCACGTTTTGGCTGACTGACTGATAAGCGTTTAATAAGGATTCGAATAAAAACAAATAACCAATCGAAGCTGTCATTGAGATCCCGAGGTTTAGTTTAGTAAAACATAATATAGGACAGGGATATTGTAATTGCCAACGTGAAATTTGAAGTATGACAAAACAAGATCAATCATTATTAGAATTCGTATGCTGCAATAGTCAACGATGCCCAGGTCCAGTTATTGATATAGGATTAGCATTAGTTAATGATCAGTTCTTATATCCAATATAAAATATTCCAGTTTATTATTAGCTAAAACATTCTAACTAATATCTAGTAGAGGTCTAGTACACTTGAAAGGATAAGCGCTAACGCGACCAGTCAGTCAGTCAGCTGCAACGTATGAACAGGCACATATATACATCGGTCCAAGTTGCCATACCGCACATTAGCACGGCAAGACAAACAACAGATTCATAGTAGTTAGGTCAATGGTAGTAATACATAGAAGAAAGATTGTATATAAGGATATAGTACAGGAAGAAAGAATTTGTTCGTAGAAAGAAAGATATGAAGCGATTTTAATCTCTTAGTTTAAGGAAGGCAGAGAGTGTATATGCCTACGCCATTGAGACTAACATACATAATCATTGTATCATCTAATCAAGAAGTATTCAATCTTACCCTTAATTCAGCTAGTCGTCCTTGTGCGATTTCACAATAATCATTCCATCGATTTATACAAGATTCATTGTAGGTATTATGATTATTATTATCAGTTATCATATTTGTACATTCCAAATCAATTGGGATTATTAACTCATCTTCATCGAATGACATAACTACTTCAGTCGGTTTTGCACGAATTTCATCAGTATGAATTTTGATTCGATTATTATTCGTTGATCTTTTTATAGGATTAAACCAATTAGGTTGAGTGTTGACTTGAATTTGTAGAAATTTTGGATCTGTTTCCCAAGGTAATAGTTCAATGAGTAAATCACAAAAATAAACTACAGCACAACGTGATGAAAGTACATTCTGTGTATTATTATTACTATTATGTGTTGATAGTAATGGATTACAAAATGTTTCTATCCACCATTGTTTATAATTTATCCCAGTTAATCGATAATCTTCTGAGCATAATTGACGTGCAATCAATAAAACTCCTATGAATAATTGTTTATCATGTTTATTTGATTTTAAAAGATCTACTTGACTTTTATGAATAAATACATCATCTAATAAATGCAAACAATCTAATTCAACATTATCATTATTGCTATAATTCATGTTTGAATTGAATAAAGACAATAGAAGTTGATGGATGATAACTAGAAAATAATAATAATAATAATAATAATAATAATAATAATAATGATAATCGAAACATTGAAGATTAAGACTATGATTGTGAAACGGCAAAATGTAATGGTAAGCATGGAGGGATTTTTTATTTTAACAAATAGATATTGGTACAAGGAGGCACCAAATACATATGCGCCACACAGATCTCATTTGATATGTGTGAGGGCTGTGATACTGCCCGGGTGCCCAAACCGAGATCTAGAGCAAAACAAAGTAAGTGGATCTGTACCGTTGTAACCGATTTTGAGTTATGTGATGCAACGTCTCCAACCATTGATTGAGGTTATCGGACAGAAGACAACCAGATAGTGTCTTAATCACTTCAGTTGATCAAGATTTGCAACCTTGTCAACCAATTTGTCGGCTTTTCCAAGTACCTTATGTTTGCCTAAACAGGCTCCCTCAGTTTTCCAACAATACACAACCAATACTTTGTATATACATACGCTCGTAAACCTGTAGATTACTCATATCTTCTTTACACTACAATGTTTTACAGCCATACATTAATAGGAAGAGAAATCCTGAGAAGTATACTAACTCTTCGATTGGCAGATGGAAACCTTACCTACGTCACAAGTGACTCAAGTTGACAAAGGTGAATAAAGCTTTTTCAGTATGCCCCAAGGCATCATCGGACACAATTATTGATGACGGAACACCTTAGAGAATGAAAAAGACTAACCGTCTCCTACTGCGACCAATTTTCCAGTAATTTTGTCTCCCTTATTGCACTTCTCTCAATTGCTTTGGTTCGCCATTCTCAACCTTTTTATAAAAATGATATTCACTATGTTTGACCATTCTTTTTGTCGTTGATACTACTATTACTTTAACTCCTCCACTCTTTATATTATCCGATCCATCCCATTATTCCAAAGTGACAAAGTGGCAGGACTTAGACTATTATTATTATTTTAACACATAGGTAATGGTACAAGGAGGCACCAAGTACATATGCCCCACACGAATCGCAATTGATCTGTGTGAGGGCTGTGATATTGCCCGGGTGCCCAAACCGAAGCAGGTGGTTTTCTTAGGGGGCCACACCCCGAGTCTTTGACCCGAAAGTCTAACCCACAAGGCAGTGGAGCATCGTGAGGAGATGCAGTCCCATGGTAGCCGGTGACCAACGATTGGTTCATACGCCATTTGATCCTTCAGGATACTGGGGCCCATGTGCACCATTGATTTGGGATCCGGTTAAAGCGCCGGACATTCGCTTTTCGTCCTCTCATTTTCGTAAACAACACCCGTGATGCGAGAAGGCAGTGAGTAGGACTTCCCTGTCAGAGGCTGTATACGCGTAGTCATGTGAGAGCACTTCGAGAGGGAGAGCGGACTCTCACCACTTTCGGCCGTACCGGGGCATTTGGGGGCAGGACTTAGACTAATTTATTCCTATTCTGATTTCCTACAACATTTCCTTTACTAGTGTTGGGGATGGTTGGAAGAAAGTTAGAGGTGGCCAAACCAAAACGTGGCATAAGTGCTTGAAGTCACTAACTTCTGGTCTGAGCCATGTTGGTAGATGCAGACTACATGGTTAGGGTACCCGGGAATATCGTAACCAATGGTTGGAAACTCTTGGTGACATAGCACAGAATCGATCACAATAGCGTAGGTGTATACACTCTCTGTCTTCCCTTAATCTAAGAGATTAAAATCACTTCATATCTCTCTTTCTACGTACTAATTATTTCTTCCGGTATTATATCATATATATATATATATATATATATATATATATATATATATATATATTATATCCTTATATACAATCTTTCTTTTATATATTACCACCATTGACTTAATTACTCCTATGAATCCGGCGTTCATCTTGCTGTGCTTATGTGCAGTATGGCAACCTGGACCGATGCATAGATGTGCCTGTTCATACGTTGCAGCTGACTGCCTGACCGGTTAATAATTGTTGAAAACAGAATATTTCAACAACTCAGCCATTAAACATTATAGTTTATTTGTAATTTACTAATTACATCACCATTCTACATATACGTATTATTTATTTGAACACATAAATATTGGTACAGGGGGGGCACAAAATATATATTCGCCAGACATATACGTATATATATAAATATGTACATAGATTACGTAAAAGAAACTTACATTTAACAGTGGATACACCTCGCCTAATGCATGTTATCATAACAGATATCAGTTGAAGAATATGAGACCAATTTACATGATCCAGATCATTATTGTACAAAATGAATAAAAGGCGTTCAGAAATGTAATTTAGATCTAATAAAAGGATGAACTATTATGTTTTAAAACAATCAAAAAACCATCTCTATTCAATAACATACTTGTATGATACAATATCGTCTATACAGATTTAATTCCATAAAAGTAAAATATTCCCTTTGAAAGTATCCATAAACTTATTGTTCTCATTAAACTGATAAAGGTGAGTACTTGAATTGTCAGATTTCGAAAGTAAAAACTTGTTGAATAGATTTTCAATAGAGTGTTTAATCTCTTCAGTTGAATGAACACCACATAATAACTCGTGAATACGGTTATGAGTTGTTTCCCAATCTGAAAATATTCATAATGAAGAAAATTCTTTTTGTAGATTACAATTGTGTATCAGATAAATAGAGTTAGATGTAGTTTAATAACAAAGTAAGCATTAATATACTCGTCTTGATGCCCGTTTCATGCATCAGAAATGATGATAATGATACTAGTCAGTTGCTTAAACTAGAGCAAAATTTGACTATGCGAAGTCGAATGAAAAACACTTATGCCGAATCAGGTTTCGTTGCTTTAATTATGATCTTCTTGAGAAGATCATGAACGTTAGAAAGTTTAGTATTTTGGGACCATGTCTGGCACTAATTCACTTAGAACTCCAATTCACTGATTATGTATACTTCTCAAAAAAATCATTCCTCCATACTATGAAAATTGGAGAAGTCATGAATAAATCAGTAACTATTTGCTCTGCTGACTTTGATTCATTACACACCTATGACAGATTTATGGAATACCGGTAGGTGCAGATTACCTTGTTGGGGTACATGGGATTACCGTAAACAAAGAATGTTTGGTGACGTGGCTTAAGATCCGTTGCCATGGTGGAGTTGCATTTATATTCTGCTCGCATTTAAATCCTGAGCTTTAAAATCATCTTATAGTATGTAAGCTACTTTTTCTCCTTGAATCACATTTTTACTGCTAATTTGTTTGACTACTACTGATAATGTTACTGGTTCTACTACTCTCGGCAATTTCATCTCACTGTGCTGGTGCGATGTGGCAACTCGATTGGATATACAAGTATCCGATTTAACACTGGATATGACTAACCATTCAGTATAAGGAAACTGACAAACAAACACTTCAGCTTATTCAGAAGCAAGAATCAAAAGTAAGCTTCGAGATAGATCATCTTCCAAATATTTTAGAAATTATTCCATTGGTCAATATTCGAGTTTGTGAGGATTAGGAGCTTATCAAGGAAGACCACGACAAAACAGGTGGGCTGGTTATGCTCGATATTAATTTTTTAATGGAAGCACAATAATGAACGATCCGCAGAGGCGCAATGTAAAGGAACGAATAGATCACAACAACCTATCCAAAGTCTACAAACCGACCTTTGCATATACATATGCGAGCGATTACGTTGTATCGAAGTTTTCGATGTGGATTACTTGAATCGCAATTGTCCTGTGGAAATAAGCGTGTTGTGCACGTTTCCCTTTAGAAACATGAACAAGACTAAAATCATCCAGTTCCCATTTCACACTCAAATATATAAAGAAAATCAACAATGACATTTTTAGCCTGAGTTTTGCTCTGAGCAAACATGCACAATCTCCCCATTCCGGGTGCATTTTCGGGTTTTCCACAAACTGGACAAAATTTTCGCCAAAATCGGGAGATTGTGTGCTTACTTGAAATTGCAGCGTTGTCTTCGGTCCAGCTAAAATTCGACATTTAATGTAAAAGCAATAACTGAGGAGTGCTTATTTTGGAGATAGGTACAAACATACCTACTTCATCCTGAGTTTCTTTCGCAGTCATCATCTTGAAGGAACAAACAACCGTCCGGACGACCTTGTGTTTTTAACGTTACCGCCTCAAAACGTTTTACCGTATTACCGTCGTTGTGTGGAGATATTTTGGTTTCAATTGTTTGGGACGAGAATAGTAGAGGTACTTGCCTAATTAATTTTCTTATCCAACAGCGCAGGATCACCAAATACTCTAGGTATTTACCTATGTATTTTTAAAAATAAAGAAGCATTAAATGGTTCGAATAATTGTGGACGGAATAACAAAAGCTTTCGCTTAACGGGCTTCCGTGTCTAGTAGCAGCGGATCATCAATACCTCCACGCAGGAACCTAGGTATGTTAACGATAACAGGTGGAAAAATATAAATCGGTAAATCATAATAAGATATTATCATTTGTCCTTAAGGATAGGTCAAGTTGCCTCTTAAAGGACTCCTGTGAAGTCGCTTGTACTAGCGAATTCTAGCATTTGACAACTCTGAAGTGGTAGAAGTTGTGTCTACAGTCTGTTCTGCTGTGTTGTATCCTCAGTTTATGGATGCTAACCATTAGGTTTGTGTTGGAGCTAAACTCAATAGGTGTTTAAAGGGATTCACTTGATATTGTCTTACTTGAATCTTCCCATTGATGTTTAGGACTGCAATTGATCATTCTCTTATTGGCATATGTGCACACCGTGTGTATTGCCTCGATATTGCCTTAATTTACAAGCATTATGAGCAAAGATGGATAGTGGCTAGCAGTGGAATCCAGTTTGACGCGCGTTTCGTCTTATTTTTGACTCGTCAGCTGGATGTACCTGCATCTCAGAGTTGATGTTCACTCTGCGACTCGAACCCAGTACCGTCCGCTTCAAACGCCATCGCGTTATCCACTTAGCTACTGAGTTCTGAAAGCCACTTGCTTGTGTACTGGGTTCGAGTCCCACAGTGAACATCAACTCTGAGATGCAGGTACATCCAGCTGACGAGTCTCAAATAAGACGAAACGCTCGTCAAACTGGATTCCACTGCTATCCACTATCCATCATTGCTCATAAAATTTAAGGGGATGTCCAGAAGTGTTAAGGATACGGTAAGGCATTAGAAGGTCACCTCTAAGACGCCTTTGCTCTAATGGGTAAAGGTTTAGTGATCAGAGGAACTCTTTATTATGCTTGAATTTGGGTTCCCGAACTGAATTCGTGGCTTGCCGTTGGTTTTGCTCCAGACAGTCCTTATTCTTTATGAGTGAGTGAGGAAACACTATGCTTCCGTGCTTTGAACGGAGATAAATGAAAATGTTGAAGATTATGCGGAAAGTTCTTCCGTTAAACTGACCAAAAAATGCACTTCAATGTTTCAGTGCAAGGTTGACACGAAAAGAATTTTTGTCACAGCGTAACTCCTCAAATCGTAGAGTACCAAGACTCCTAAATCCTTTTAACTTGGGATACGTCTATAGAGGAGTATTTTAAGTTGTAACCAAGGTCTGCGACATGTCTCGGATGGACTACTTTGCGCTTTGAAGTGTTGAAGGTAGGTCTGTTGTGATCCGCCCGATTTTGAAATCGAGTAAGATCCTCCAACCCAATAGGGCATTTCATGGTCTGAGAGAAAGTGGAGTTAACCCTGACCTCGAAATGTCGATTTTTTAGATTTGAAGGGTTCTAATAAATTTGAAGTGATTCTATAACCAATAGTTTAAATTTGTTCGTAAGACATATATTGTTGGCCCTATCAAAAGCTTTTTAGAAGTCGAGGTAAATGATGCCAACATTCCCCCTTCGATCAAAGATGGTTATCCATCTGTCAACCGCAGTCTACAGGTTGATTGTACAAGAACGACCCTCCTGAAACCATGCTGTTGGGGCGAAAAGTAATTTAAGGATAATAAATGGTCGTATATATGTTGTGGCATTAAGGTTTAACTACACAATTCTTAAAGCTGAATACGGAACAATCAGAGAATTAGATAGTCAATATGTAACGCGAGGAAAAATCCAACGATGGAGAAGACGGGAACAATGAACTGAATTAATTTGAGTTGATCGAATGGCATGGATCGGCCTTACAGACGTGGTCCCTGCTGAATGTTATCTTGTACCATTTATTCATATTGAATAAATCGTTCTATCTCCGGCCTAAGATTGTTATTCACAATGTACTGGTAATTGTCACGATACGACGAGTTGGTGTAGACGACGGTATGACTTCTAGGTAAGATCTTATAGATTAGGCAGTTACATCATGACAAGCCTACAATTTTAGGATTCGTTCTATTATTAGAGCAGTACTAATAACGAAGTAGACCATAATTCTACATATACCGTTGTATATCATAAACTTCATAATTTTCGAAGGTATGGTGAGAAGAGACACTGAATCGACTTCCGTTGAAAATTAGTGTGATGTCAGTAGAAGGCCAGGCCCAAGACACGCATGCTCTAATGAATAAAACTTCATAGCTTTAAGGCGCTCTTTGTGATGACTGGATTTGAATCTTCGAAGTGATTTCGTGGTTCGCCCATACATACATTTAACAGTATCTTTATCCATGTGATTTGAGGTAAAACACATTATTTCACACTTCCTTCTTCCGGTAATTGCTTGTTTGACGTAATGTACATTGAGTTCAAATATCACCTTAAGGAACGGCTTAGATAACATTTGATGTACAGAATTATAGCTTACATCTGTCAGTGTCTCTGAACCAGCTCAAATATTATCTGGAGAAAATCCTGATGGTAAACTGGCGCATCCACAATTACATCGTATGAAGAGCTATACCTCCGTTGAACTGAATAAAAACCATTTCATCATGTTGATAGACGTGGCTTTAGTTCTGGTTAAATATTTAATATGCTGTTCCGGGGATACATACATCAAGGTGTTGGCCTAGGTAGACGAATGATGGAACTCTTCACTCCAGTCTTTAAAGGAGAACAAACAGTTCGTCTAAACCCCTAACAGCGACTGTTCTTCCATTATTCAATAGTGTTGTGGAAATTTTAGTTTCGTTGCACACAAGTACCACAAGTAAAAGATCCATCTCGAAAGCACTCATGATCTACTGACTGTGACGGATGGTACTCCTGTGAGCTTTTGATCGAACCAATTATATGTGCATAGTGACAGCGGAGTAACACTAAACTCTAGACAGATTATTTCTCGATCTGAATTTTTTTCTACCTTGTGCAGTTTATCACTGTACGCAGAATGGCTGGCGAAATACAGTAGAGACCAATCAAAGCCGATGTGAAAATATCATCAAGCTGGTGCGGCTTGACCATATGAAAGTAACAATTATATCTGCGCGTTGACGTAGGAGGTTCTTATCACCAACCCATTCAGATTAAACTCGTACTGCTTACTTAGTAAAACATCTTTCCAATTAAGTTCGCTCACCGTACAATAAGACCACGATGCATCACAAAGTACTGTTACATAAGATTAATTTAAAGCGACCTTTCTCTCCATCTAAGCGATTGTGCGGACAGTAGGGATAAATGAATGAACGTATATTAATTGATAGTTAGGTACGTACGAGCCACCATTCGCATATGTAAACAGATATGCTCAATCAAAACAGAATTGTCTATCTTCAATGAGATAAATTCGTCAGACAAACGTCCCAAGATGAGTGTGTGTAGAGAGGTTATTAGGTGAGTACAAGGCGATACGTTAGATTGTGATTTTACTTCAGACTGCTAAATGCTTGTCCCATATTTTTGTAACATCGCTCAAAATGACAGGTATACAGAATAACGGAAAAGAGTGAAGTATCTCACCCGCCCAGAAATTGGAACAAAGACCCAAACGAGATTTCATTACTTAAAAAGACCTTCACGTATATATGCAATTCGTCCCAGTAGTGTTGGCGTCATTGCATTTCCCCAAGTTAAAGATGTTTTGATGAGACAAGACGATCCAGAGACTAAGCAAAGAAGTGTATGATTAGAGGAGTCAGAGGTAATTGACTTCGAGCACAAGCAGAGGTACGTAGATACGCAGCCACCACACTGTATATTTAGCAGAGCGGTGTCAAAGTTGCTGTGACATACGACAACTAACACCTGATTGGCCACACTCAATTAATAGTGCTGGCTACTACAAGTTCCTCTTCACCCATAAAAATTCAACCTATTTGTGGATCAGTGCTTCTTCATACGGAAAACAAGAACGACTAGAAAGCAGTCCTGGTTTTTGTTGCGCAAAAGCATGTCATCGGAACACCCCTGAAACATTGACTAATTCAATGTCACCTAGCTGTGGCTTGAAGACTTTAAAAGGAAAATATCTGTGACAGGAGAACTGCTGCTAGAACACTACTCCACATTCTGGTTGTAGACTCTACTAACTCACTATCGGAAAGTAAACGAACATTAGAAACAACTATAATCCTATCGCATACATCTCTCTGGTGTGTGAAGTGGCGTGCTCCTATTATGTTTGTTAGCTAGATGGTAAAGTGCAGGCAAACAACCGATTATCAACGACTGACTGAGCGAAAAGAGAGACGGAAACACATCACTTACCAGTTATGATCACAGGTTAGGCAATTGTTCCTTAACCATATGTCATTGACAAAAATCTGAACATTCGATTAGTCAAGTAATAGGACAACCGAAGACTGCTACATATGAACGTGCTTATAACTGATATAAAACAGACAGATAAAATCAAAGTGGTATGATATTTTAAAATTGGGGCATCAAAATACGAAACATGACAACTTTTAATTTTTCGAGAACTACAAATACCGCAATTGTAAGAAGCATAGACAGTTGTGTTATATGAGAAAATAATCAGAATTAAAAATAGTAGTATGGAGATAGACAGCTGGTCAAAGCTCATGTTACAGTCATTGAAAACCTGTAAGCACTGGACGGCTGTCTCGTCTAAGTATTGGTCTCCTTGAAAATGCGCATCCGTGTCGATTATGAGACAGTCATCCACCCCTAGGCTATGGTGGAAGAGCTGAAAGAGATCATAGATTGATAGAAGTTGGACGTAAACAACCTTGAATGCGAGATCAGTTGTCTAGAATCTTGTCGTTCGTGCA